GTTATAGGCTGATTATGCAGGATTAGTGAGGGTTGAAGGAGAGCAAATGGGATTTGATTTGGAAGTGGCCTGGATTTGAAAGGGTTCAAATATTTCTCTAGTTACTGATGTATGAGAAATTGCACACAAATAATTTAAGGTGTGAGAGATGGGGTGCCTCAAATATGTGTAGTTTTTGCAGTAACGTTGAATCTACTTTACTTGTTATGAGGGAGTATGTGGTAGCTAAGGAGGTTTAGAGGAAAGTGGTACCATGTGAGAGGAGGAGTTATTTTTCTCTATGAGTTTGCAAGACTGGTTGTGTATTAATTTGAAAAAGGATAGTAGGAACAAATCTAAGGTGTAGTGGTGGATTTTATTTGCAATTATATGCTATTTTTTTGTGGAAGGAACATAATTTGAGAGTTTTTTTGGCTAATTATCAATAAGTGAATGCTAATGATTTATGTAAAAGGGCGGTATGTTTTTGTGTTGCTGTGGTTAATGTAGAAAAGAGAAAAGTTGTGGCGATGGGGCCAAGGAGAATGAGAGGTTCCTTCAGGTGGTTACCATCTGATGAAGGCTAGTTTAAATTGAATACTAATAGGGCGAGTTGGGGAAATCCTGGTTTGAGTGGATGTGGTGGGTTAGTGCAAGATTGTACAAGGAAGTGGATTTTTGGTTTTGCCAAGAAGCTTGGGAGATGTACTGCTCTTGAAGCTGAGTTTTGGGGTGTAGTTGAAGGCTTGGAGTTATGCTGGTCTGCTGGTGTAAATAAAGTAGTGCTTGAGGTTGATTCCATTGTGGTTTTGAAACAGGTGGAGGGAAGAAGCAAAGATCATTTTGCTAAAGGTTGTTGCTTGCTGAGAAGAACTTAGAGTTGGTTTGAGAGAGATTGGCAATTGTTGGTGGTTCATTCTCCTAAAGAAGGTAATGGCTGTGCTGGTGCTTTTGGCTAATATTAGTTTTAGACTTAGGAGGAGTTGATTGTTTGGGATAATGTTGTTGAGGAGATGCGATTAGCTTATTTAGTAGATTGTTATTTTAAGAGAGGTTGATTTGTTCTTTTTGCATTTTTGTTTTAGTTTTTGCTTGGGTGTTTAGCCCCTACTTGTACCAAAATAAATAAATTATATAGATATAGATTCTTACATAATTTTTGGTTAATATATTTTTTGTGACCATTGGCCAATTTATTCTTCTTAATATTATAAGAGGTTAACCTGTAAATGTAAGAAGTTTGAAATGTAAATCTTGAATATCTATTTATAAATATGTGAGAAAGCCATTGTCCATTAAAAGTTAAGCAAATAAATGAAAAAAGATCACAATTTCCCTACTTGGAGAGAATTGTATTTTCCACAAATGTACGATGCAAGTGAGAGCTGATATCAAATATAGTCACTTTAAGGATGTATGATCATCTTTTTTCCCCCTGGCCATACAGATGTATAATCATCTAATTCCAAACACATAAGTAAATTTGAAAAATGTTCTCTCTCAAAATTTTCCAAGCACATTATTTTATAGCCATTACTTTTTTTATCACAAAATATCGCTTAATTAACTCTTTTTTTTATTCTAATGGCCTAACATCCTAAAAAGCCTAGAGGTATTATTAGTATCACTATCCACCCAGATTAATTTGGATAATCGCTATGTAGGACCTAAGGTGTTCATAGGTTTGATACTAATCAATTCAACCAAGCTTGGAACCTACCTAGTTTTTACTTAATCGGTTTGGTTTGGTTTTCTCAACTATTAGGTTCAATTTGATTTAAATGTGGATCCAGTTTGAATGCTTTTTATTTTATTTTTTAAATTTATTTTTTGTTGGAATTTATAAAAGGCATTATTGTTGATAATTTTTAATTATTAATTAGCACAATTAATTAAAAAAAATCTCTTGAGGACAAGTGAGAAAAACATTTCAAGATTTTATTAGCATCATCAATTCCTTTTTCGATGAAGGAGAAGGAAGCAATGAAACAATATAAACTTGTTAAAAAAAATGAAACAGTATAAACAATGATTTTTTTAAAAAAAAGTATTTTGATTTTGGGCTCATGGGCTTTGAATTTTGGGCTTATTGAGTGAGAGGGTGGGTTAGTTTAGAATGTTTACACTGGGTTTGAATTTAGGGAAACTTCTGAATAGGTTTGGTAAAACAAATTTTATTGATAAATAAATCTTCTAAAATTCAAAAGTATAGCCAAATCTCTTAGAATTTGAGTAAAATTTGTGGTTGAGATGTAAAGACAATGCTACCCTTATTACTCTGACTTTCACTTATAACTGTAATTTCAAAATTTACCAGTGCAAAATTCAATTCATAAGTCAAACTTCTTGTTTAATGCATGATATAATATAGAGTTTTCATGAAATTAATTATGTCTACTAAATGTTATAATTGGTCTAACTGAGATGTAAGAAAAGTAATAGAGTTCATTTGGGATATACATATTTAGCATACAGCTTGTTTAAAGTTAGACTTAATTGATGAGACCATTGATAGCTAATTTAATTTTCACTTACAATTGCAATTTCACAATTTTCAAGTAAAAATTCATAATTTACAAGTTAAATTCTTGTTTAATGCTTGATATAATATAGAATCTCCTTGGAATTAAATACATGCCTAAGGCCATAAATGGTTTAATTGGGATATAAGGGAAGTATTAGGGCTCATCTGGAATTTACATATTTAACTTATGGGTTGTTTAAAGTAAGATTTAATCAATAAAGCTCTCAATAGTTAATGTGGCTTTCACTTACAATTATGACTTCATAATTTACAATTAAAAATTCATAATTCAAAAGTCAAATTTCTTGTGTCATGTTTGATATAATAAGGAGTTGCCATTGAATTAATTATGCCTAGTTACGACTATAATTAGTCTAATTGAGATTTAAATTTGTAATTCACTATGTAATTATAGGTTTGAGTAGGCATAATCAACTTCATGGAAACTCCATATTATATCAACAATTAAATAAGAAATTTAACTTGTGAATTACTTCCTCCGTTTAAAAATGTAAAATATTTTTAAAAAATTGAATGTTAAAAAATATAAAGCATTTTTAGTCTTTTAAAGCGTAATCATTGCCTTTTTTTAAAAAAAATACCCCTATTAATGAATGATTTTATATTTATTATAGAGTATTTAATAGGGGTAAATATAAAAAGATTGGGTTAGTTTAAAAGTAAGTAATTACTTTATTGGAAGGTGAGATTCAGTTAAAAATACCTTACATTTTTTAATAGAGGGAATACAAATTTTTACTTATAAAGTGTGAAGTTACAATTGTAAGTGAAAGTCAAATTAATAGGAGAAGTATTGTTTTTACACCCTAACTTCAAATTATACTCAGGTCCAAAGGGGTAATTTAGTTGTAGTTTCTGATCATTTTACAGGATTTATTTGTACATAAAATTCCTATATGGTGCCTATTCGTAATTTTTCTTTGAATTTATTTTAGGGATATTAAATAATATAAAAATTAAGAAGACATGATGATTTTCATGTTCAAAACCAAACTGCTCGATTTATCATGTTAAAACCATAATAGACCTTATTTCTAGTCGATTTCTTTGATTTATTTTGGTTTTGAACATATTTACAGTGATTTTTTTATCAACAGCAACCTCACAAATACCTCATGCTTTTGACATTTTTATTTAATATATGTATATATTCTAGGACTCAAATCTGAATTTTAAAATAAGTTGATCTAACTCTTTTGATTAGTCAAATTAAGCCTCTCTCAGTAATTATAACTTGTTTTTACCCTCTAAAACTTGAGGGCGCATCAATTCTACTGTATCTCATGCTATGCTCGCCTTAATTGGCAAACAGCATGTAAACAATATTGCTCTTGCTGGCCCAAAAAAAAAAAAGCATGTAAATATTGCTTCTTTTGCACGGCAACTTTGTAAAAGTATATCCCTCGCAAAAGTGCTGTCTCAATTAGCTTAGTTCAATTTGTCGCCGGAAAAGTATTAATTCATTTTTGTAATTTGCAAGATTGGTAAATCAAGATGCTTAATAATAATATATAAAGAGAAGAAAAGAGAATAAAAATATATTTTGTCCGTGATAAGTTTCATAGATTTATTGCTTTTTTTAACTTCTACACTTTAACTTTTAACCTGTATTCATATCAACGCTGTCTCCCCAACTCCGCCAATTTATCATATTTTCATATCTGAAGCTTAAAGTAGCATTTGGATGTATTGATCTTTTGTTAGAACAGCACATTAAATTAAATTTAAAATTATTTGTCGACAAATGATGATCCAATTGATAAAGATTTGACCTATAACTCACAAAATTATGTATTCAAATCTCATTGTTAATATAAGAATTTTGTTAATGAGCGATTGGTAAGTGACTTTGTAAGTATTTTTTGAGAATGGATGCATGCATGCACATCTTAACTTTTATAAGCTACCAAGGCCCAATTCATCCTAAACTTTCATTCATTTAAAAAGAAAAAAAGAAAAGTTTAAGACAGAGTTAATTACCAATAATTGTTATTCTCAAAGTGAATGTAATCAAATTTTTCTCAAACAAGGGCCGCCAAGGATTAAATCTTATTAAATAATACTCCTTTCATTTTTATATATAAGAAAAAAAATTGTATCACACTGTTAACCATAATAATTATGTCTGAAAATAAAAAATTAGACTAAAATATTCTATATTAATTAATATAAGTATGTATGAATTATTTTTTATTAATGTAAATTATGAGAGGTGATTTAAAAAATGTGTAATAAATGCTTATTAAAATATATAATTTTGCTTATATAAAAAAAAGTAAAAAGTGATAGTTTCTCTTTTAAATAAGTATGGAGGGAGTATATAGAAAAGACAATCATAAAAGACATTCCAACAATATTTGAATTAAAACCACCCAAAAGAAGAAAAAAAAAAGAGCAGCTTAGTTTGGTATAAATTGAGAACCCGTATCATCCTCTTCAAGAGTGAATTGGCATGTGTGTCTTGGCTTTGATCATTGATTAATCTATTCTTAGAAAAACTGGATTTTCCAGCTCCATCATCAATGATACCAAAAAGTGCCTCATCAAGTTTGGAGGATTCACCATATCTGCATCGTCCACCAGAGAGTAGCTATGGAGGAATTAGCATCGAACTTGCCATCAAGTCCAAAGAACTATCCCGGTACCTACGGCAGCGCGATTGGGGAAACGTGGTGCGACTATGCAAAGAGTGTCCAGAGCTTTTGAGTAAAGGGACGGAAAGCTCGAAGGACACGGCCTTGCATATTGCCATCAACGACGACAGAGGCAATATGGCGGAGACATTGGTGGATATAATCAGAACTCACAGAATAGAGAAGGCTCTGATAGCACAAAACAACAGGGAAGAGACCCCCTTGCATTGCGCAGCAGCCAGAGGGTCTGTGCAAATGTGCAAACTGATCCTCAAGGCAAGCGACGATATGGATATGGACAAGGATTTGCTGTTGAGTAAAACTAACAAATGGCATGAGAACCCGATCTTCGTGGCGGTTGTCCACAACCATAAACTTGCCTTCCAATGCCTCTGCGAAGCATTCCCAGACGGAGAAGTCTTCACATTCTTGTTTGGAGGCCCTGACGGAGATACTATCCTTCACTCCGCCATTAGGAGAGAACACTTGGGTAATGAGCATCCATCTATCATTCTCTGTGGTGTGTGTTTATTATATCGATGATTATCTGTGTTGTGTTATTAATATATTCATCTACGTACATACATATAAATTTAGATTTGGCATTTCAAATAATCCAAAAGTTTCCGGAGCTTTCTTGCCACTTTAACCAGAAGGGAAGGAGTCCTCTTGAAGTCCTTGCAAGAACACCTTCTGCTTTTAGAAGTAGCTACAACCTTTCCTGGTGGAAGCAAATCATATACTTTTGTAAGTATACTTTTTTGCCTTCAAATTGCAAGACATTTTTCATATATATATATATATATATATGTTAGTGTTTTTTTGTGAGCAATTAATTATATTTTCCCAAATATTTCAAGTTAATGAGGTTTTTATATTTATTTGTAATTAAGTTATTACCCTATTAATTATAGATATGAATAGAGCATGTAATTTTTAGAGATGGTACTTAAAAATACCTGATAATTTGGTGGATTTTATGAATATTGATAATAAATTAAATAATTGATTTTCCTTATTCTGCAAGCTAGGCATACAAGTTGATCCGCTGAAATATGATCATCACTTACATGGTAAGGTTTACTTTTATGTGATTTGGATACTCTCCATTTATACTAGACGTGGATCATATATAGTCTATCCAAAATTAATGAAGTTTATATATAATATAATAACAATAATTTAAAAAACTTTGTTAATTTAACAAGTCGTATCATTCATGAGTCCCAATTAAAAAAAATTCTATGGAAACGTTTTTTTGTTTTTAACCAATGAAAGCACTGTGAAAATGCGCAGTGTGTACATAAAGTTTAGGCCCGTGGACATTGCTTACCTATATGTTCACCTTATCACAATTATACATAAATGCTTCGACAACAACATTCCTTTTTAGGGTTTTTTTTTAATGATAGTGAGTTATATATATATATGTATGTATGTATGTATAGTTGGAACTTATTTTTTAAATTTTATATATAATATAAGAAAAATATATCTATAAGTCTTTATAGTTTTTCTCAATTTTTAATTAAGTATTTATAATTTATTTTATTTTAATTGAATTCTTATAGTTTGATCAATTGAATTTTTTAACCCATAAAAATTAAAATCCTTGAATTTTTTCTTTAAAAAATAAAATTAAGAACTTCTATATTTTTTAAATGATTATAAAACTTTAAAATTAATTACATAATTTTTATAACCTAGTTTATATAAGTAGGCTTTCTTTTAAATAATTTGTAATATTCATAGAATTTTCATAAAAAAATTAATAAAAATGTAAATAGTTTATAAAATAAAATTTTTATTTTTTTATTTTGGCTAAAAGTATTAAATTAAATTTTCTATAAACTCCAAAAGTATTTTTTTTTGGAAAATTTAATAAGGAGTTTTTGCAAATATAATCTATGTTATAAGATTGAACCAAGCAAACTGTCCAACATTTATTATATTTTGTATTATAGTTTAATTTATTATATTTTTTAATAATATACCATTGTACATCAATAATAAATCTCTTATAAATTTTTAAATTTTTAATAATAAATTTCTTGTATATTAATGTGAACTGGCTACAACTTTTACATTTTTAAAAATTTAGTCCATATTTTATGAGCATAAGATTTTTTTGGCCAATAGGCCAATTTATCCATTTAATAATTCACAACTAATTTTAATCTTAAAGCATTAACATATTTAATAAATCAAACTGTAAGGGCTTAATTAAAATAAAATAAACTAGTGGGACCTAATTCAAAATAAAGAAAAACTATAAGAACCTGTAAATTAATTTTCCTTACAATATATTCAATTGTCATCTAACCATGCTTCGATTTTTTTTTTCCCCGGCAGGATTAGAGAAGGAAGAAGGGGAATCAGCAATCCCAAATAAGCATGTTTTGAATAAAAGCTTTCCACAAAATTATGCTACATGTTTTGAGTTTCTAGCCTTTGTCTACCTACATTTTCTTGGCGTGTTAGGATTTGGTATGACACCTTCAAAATTTATAATTTCTTCATGTGTGTGTGTGTGTGTGTGTCTATCAAGACTAATAATTAATTAAGTTTCTATATCATATATGTAAATAAAAATGCATGCATGCAGGGAGGATATTTACCGACATAAAGAAAGTGAAGCAAAATTATAAATGGAGTCTTCAGCTATTGGATGAACTCTTGGAAAAGTCTTCTAATGAAGAATACATGAAACATGGGAATGACCTGGAATCCGCTTTCCCTGATGAATCTGAAACGTTTCCATTTGCTAGAAATCAATCTGGTAATTCATTTTCGTTTCATCTTCTCAAACCCATATGATACCTTGGGTGGGTTGGGGCCAGTAAAGCTCTTAGCCAATGTCCTAATTTACAATTAGAATTTTTGTCTACAATCAATTATCTGAATCAATATTTGTGATTAATAATTTTCAAACAATTTTAACTCCCTTTGTAGGGACTTTAATGGTGCATTTGGATTAATTGAGATTTAAATTTGGATCAAATCCTTATTAGGACACACAAAAATTCATAAATTTGGATTTGATTCAAATCAAAATTCATTTCTTATTATAAATTCTTTGTAATTTTAAATTCCCTTTATTTATATCTTAGTTATTTAAAACTTTAATAACTTCAAATATCTCATTCTTTTTATATTTTCATTATTGATACCTCTATGACTTTTGTATATTTATTTTCTCATTTCTCATTATAATCTTTCATTATTCTCAATTTTTCATTTTTGTCTGGGATCTCAACTCATCTCTCTTGTTTATTTAAAATTTTTTATATTATCTAATAAATAAAAAATTTTAAATACATGAATTTTAAATACAAAATTTAAAATCTAAATTCATCAATTCAGTGGCTACTTAAAGTCATTGTTTCCTAATGTTGCCGGGGGACAGGGACGAATGTCCCCCCCGCCGGGGGGGGGGGGGCTTCCCCCCTCACGATTTGATTGGCAACTTGACAAAATTTTAGAAATATTTTTATTTTACTTGTTAAAAAAAGTGAAATTTAATATCAGCTCCCCCATATTTTAAGCATTTTTCATTTCTCTCCCCCCCCCCATGTGTTCTTTTCTGGATTCGTGCCTGGCAGATGACGCGGTCAAAGGCAATAAGGTTGAGAGAATAAATAATAAAGCCCTGTTGGCAGCAACAAAGAACGGCGTGATTGAGGTGGTGGATGAGATTCTACGCAGATTCCCAGGAACGATCTCGGAAGACACCTTAGGATCATCGGACAAGAACATATTGATGGTGGCGGTGGAGAATCAGCAAGCAGAGATCTTCGTGGCACTTCGGCAGCACGTGACCAAAGTATTAGGGAAGCCTAACCTGTGGAGGGACCTCGTTCATGACGTCGACGAAAAGGACAACACCATTTTGCATATAGCAGCAAAGTACGACGAATCCTTGTCTCATGGTTGGCAAGCTTATGGCTCTGCCATGCAGCTGCAATGTGAAATCACCTGGTACGAGGTAATTACGTAATTCTAATACTACGTAGTAGTATACTACACACACACACATCATGATGTTGATCTAGAGTAAATATTCTTAGCCCTGATTCTAAAATTATCTTATCTTATCGAAATTACTTCTCATAATTAAAATGCTCTATAATGAGACAAAACTATATTGTACTCCACCTCTGGTCTTTATTAAGCTTATTAGGTATCTTCTAAAAGAGATTAATGATCTTTATAAGTACAACGCACTTGGTGGAATGTTAATTACATCTTTTTCAACATTACTTCTATTTAAACTTATTAATTATGAGAGATATATATAATGTAAATTTAAATTTTTTCATTTAAATATGGATTAAGAGTCATTTATTTTTTTTCTCAAATAAAGTTAATAATTTAACTATTTTTTTTAGTTCCGATGAAGTGCTTAAAACTGTATAGTGGCCAGAAGGAATATATCTTAATCCCCCCCCCACCCCCAGATTTTCACTTTTGCCCTCAATTATTTTGCTTACCGAGCATCTTATTAACTTTATTCCGAAGTATAGGGAAAGGTTATTAATTATGCTTCTAACATTTTGCAAATAATCTTTAATGTGTGTGTGTGTGTGTAGATATATGGGTAAACCACATTCTCCAAAATTTTATCTTATATATAATTAGGAAAAGAGAAAGTACTAATTTCTCTCTGGGATATTTTTGAGAAAAAACATATTAATTATTGTCTTTAGCTTTGTAAAACGTTTATATAAGAAGAAACACTAAAAACGTTTTATAAGAATTGTAAGAAGGAAAGAAAGGAGTATCAGATATGCTGATATCCTTAATTTAACTGTTCTAACAATTGAAATTGAAATGCAGTATGTGAAATCATTTCTGCCATCCCACTTCCTTTTCCTTGAGAACAGTGCTGGTCAAACTCCGGTGCAGATCTTCACTAAAGGCCATAAAGATCTCGTTGAAAAGGGCAGTACATGGCTTAAGGATACGTCTCAGTCTTGCTCGGTGGTGGCGGCGCTAGTGGCCGGAGTTTCCTTCGCGTCGAGAACAGTCCCCGGAGGCACGGACAACAAAGGTAAACCTACCTTGGAAGGACATCCAGCATTTGACCTTTTTGCTATCAGCGGACTCATGGGACTAGGATTCTCGGTCACTGCACTGGTCATGTTCCTCTCCATACTCACATCTCGAAAACAGCCTATAGATTTCAAAAGGAATCTGCCATTTAAGCTTCTCTTAGGGTTGAGCTCGTTGTTTGTGTCGATCGTGTCCATGTTCATATCATTCTGTGCTTCACATTTCTTCGTGCTTGAGGACAAGTTCAAGAAAGGACTGTTTCCTCTTTATGCTGTCACTTGCCTTCCTATTTCCTTCTATGCAATCGCTCAGTTTCCTCTTTACATGGATCTCTTGAAAGCCGTCATCAAGCACGTTCCTCGGTCACAAAAATATGTTGAGTTATGAACGATCTGGGGAATCTCTTCCCTCCTTTTTATTGTTTTTTCATGAATTTTATGTTTCCCAATAAGTTTGATTATATTTATTGTCTTTCTCCAACATTATTTTATTGGATTTTTGAGGTGTCAGAAATTTCATCTAATTCTCTTCTGAATGAAAGGCTGAGATTTTATATATTAGACACACAGTGGAGAGAGCAACAGACACCCCAAATCCTTTTTTTTTTCCTGATGTTATAATAATTGCTTTTCCTCCATTGATTTTGGAAGAGTCTTTATTATATATTGTGCTATTTATGCGGGTTTGTGTATATATATATATATATATATACATGACTCAAGTTACAATCTTTTTAATTTGCCCCAATTTTTATATTTAGTTTTCAGTTTGTAAAAAATTTATTTGTTAAAAGTTGATTTGTCACCAGTGAATTTGATATATCCAGGTGCTTCCAGATCATGCAGGAAAAAGCACAGAACATAAGTACTTGAAAAATTAAAAAAGAACTTCCATATTCTACCCTACTTCAAACCAAACAGAAAAAAGAAAGCCACTAGATAGCACAGCAAGCCTGCTCTGCTGGAGATATGTATGCAAATAATTTGAAAGTTAAACTTAGCAGTAGTATTAAAAATCATGAAACCAACTACCAGCATTATACTATTTGCTTTTCAGAACCAATCCAACGCTGAGACTAATTAAGAAGTGGCTTCATCACATCAGACCTAAACTGATGCTGGTCATGTATATATGCCAACACGTTAAACTCAGGCGTTTCTGTATCAGGGCCACCTTCTATGTTGTCAGGTTTCAATAAACCAGCCTGAAAATGAGAAGACAAAATATAACACAGATCATAAACACTTGACATTGGAAAATTACCGGGGGAAAAAGATCAAAGTTCGAAAGAAACTAATATGATGAGAGGAGCTCTGATCCCATCGTGAAGAAAGATCACCAACATTACGATCCCATATATAACCTGGTTTTAGGTCAAGATCATCACAAAGCTCTTTGCTTCTGTTCTCTCTCATTTTAATTTTCTGGTCCAGCGTCTCCCTCCCATGTGTGAATGTACAAAGCAATCAGTAATCAATAAGAATCTATGGAAGAAATGGTCTTCTATTTATAATTAATAAACAGAAAAATCAAGAAAACATCTTAATGAATGCACGTTCAGAAACATGTGAACATCTAACATACGACTTTGACAATAGCACTATATTGCACATAGAATGACTCTCATTTTATGTAAAAGATGATGATAAAAAGAAAAACTAAATCGGTTATGTGAGGCGACAAAAGGCCACTAGATCTGGGTGAGTAGTCAAGCCAATACTTTAGCAACTTTGACTATTAAAATTGACTTACAGAGTGAGAAATCTTCACTACATATATCACAAAGATCTCGTTCAAAAGGGTGGGACATGGCTTACGAACGCGTTTCAATCTTGCTTGGTGGTGGCTTCGCCGGTCATCGGAGTTTGCTTTGCAACGTCAAGCTCCTTAATTCCCCTGAGGCTTCAATATATAAGAAGGGTAAGCCAAACTATGAAGGACATGCATTAGCTTGCATTTAAACTTATTTCAATATCACTGCACTAATCGTCTGCTAATATTGTAAAAGTATTATGCTATTTTTGCTGGTTTCTATGTTGAGGGATTTCGAGCTTTATGAGGTAAAAAAAATAAAAAATAAATGCTCTCAATTTAAAAATTATTTTTGATAAATTGGCTAATTGGAAGAAAAAAATTTTTGTGCCCATAAAATATGAACCAAATTTCTGAAAATTTGAGAATATGACTAATTTACATTGATATATAAAAGGTTTGAAAATTTACATGTAGTTCATCATTAATGTGAAACAGTATATCATTGACAAATATAATAAATTAGTCATAATATAAAATATAATAAATGTTAGGTTGTTTATTTGATTTGGTCTTATAACATGGGCTATATCTGCAAAAATCAAAAATATTTTTGTTAAAATATCAATAATTTAATCTTTACAATTCAAATATCACATACTAACAAATAAATATTCAAGATTTGCAAGTAAAACTTATTACATTTAAAAATGAGGAAATTAGCTTAATAACTTCAAAAAAATATAGCTCCTACAAATTATGGATGAGATTTTTGAATCTTTTAAAATATAGCCCATTCATAAAGTCAATTAGATATATTTTACTCTTTTATCCTTAGATTAAATTTATTATTAAAATGCAATATATCTATTATTAGATTAAATTACTAGTGCCTTTTTTCATTGCAGAGCTTTTCTTCTCTCTTCTTCTCTATTTTTTCCAGGAACACTAGGAAGAGGACATTAGATATTAAAGAGGAATATCCATTTCTAGAAGTAAAAGGCTAAGCTGAAATCTATTATTTGTTATCAGATTTTCACCACCTTCACATTTCTCAGTAACATTAAATTTTTTATGGGTTGTGTTTGATTCATTTTGGGCAAATGATTATATATTTTTTGTGTTGCTGATATGCAATACTACATCATTAATATACTTGATAAACAAATTTATGTTTAATTGTCTAGTTATGTTGATCTGTGATAATATATCAGTGATATACAATAGTATATCAACAATGTAGTATTGTGAATCAGTAACACAAAAAACATATAATCATTTGTCTAAAATGGATCAAATACAGTCCATAAAAATTTTTGGACTTTTAATTTATTACAGAGAGTCAAATACCTAAACTAGTAAAATAAAAAATCATGAATTTATAGCTCCATTTCCTCACCAACGTGATCTGTTCCATCGAGTACCATCAATATATCTCACGTCGTGTTTGTCTCTCACGATCATGATTGTGGCTCCCTCACACTGCTGTGTTGTCTCATGTTCATCTCTCTTGTGTCCAGTTCTGTCTTCTCTCTCACATTCATATTTAAAAAAGGCCATTTTAGACTATGTATCTCACATTCATTACGTCAGTTTTAGAGATTTCTTGCATTTTAAATCTTTTAATATTTACAAAAGGCAGATATTAAAAGGGCAGTTTTGTAAATTAATTAAAACAAAATATTAACAAGGCCATTTTTGAAATTTAAAAAATGATATGCTATTTCTTTTACTTAGTCTTATAATATGGGCTATGTGTGCAAAAGCCCCTTTAAAAATTAATCTATTACAATATTAATATTTTAATATTTACAAATAAAAGTTCACAAATTTATAAGTTATACTTACAAATTAAAATGTTTAACTTGTAAATTTGGCTTTCTCTTACAATTGTAACTTCAAAATTTACAAGTAAAAAATTTTAATTTATAAGTCAAATTTTTTATTTAATGCATGATATAGTATGGAGTTTTTGTAGAATTAATTATGCATACTTAATATTATAATTGGTCTAATTGAGATGTAAAGAAAATAATAGAACTCATTTGGGATATAAATATTTAACATACAGCTTATCTAAGGTTAGACTTAATTAATAAAACTATAGTGGCAGTTAATTTTGCTTTCACTTATAACTACAACCTCATAATTTACAAGTAAAAAATCATAATCTATAAGTCAAATTTCTTGTTTAATGCTTAATATAATATAAAATCTCCATGGAGTTAATTATGCATGCTTAAGACTATCAATAGTATAGGGATATAAGGAAAATAATAAAGCTCATTTGGGATTTACATATTTAAGTTATGGGTTGTTTAAAGTAAGGTTTAATAAATAAAACTTTTAACAGTTAATTTGGCTTTCACTTAGAATTGTAATTTCATAATTTACAGTTAAAAATTCATAATTCAAGAGTCAAATTTCTTGTTTAATGTTTGATATAACAAGGAGTCTTCTTTGAGTTAATTATACCTACTTAAGACTATAATTGGTCTAATTGGGATGTAAAATTTGTAATTCATTGGGTAATTCTAGCCTTGACTAGACACAATTAACTTCATGAAAACTCCATGTTTTATCAAGGTTTAAACAATGAATTTGATTTGTGAATGACAAATTTTTACTTATAAATTATAAAGTTACAATTATAAATGAAAGCCAAATTAACAGGAAAAATATTATTTTTACATCCTAACTTCAAATTATACTCAAGTCCTAAGGGATAACTTGGCTGTAATTTTTAAAATTGTACGAGACTTATTTATAAATAAACTTTCTATGTTGGCCCTATTATTAATTTTCCCTTGAATTTATTTTAGGTGATATTAAATAATATAAAAATTAAGAAGACGTGGTTCCGTTTATCATGTTGAAAAACCATAATAGACCTTATTTATAGTCCATTTTTTCAATTTAGTTTGGTTTTGGACATTTTTAGTGTAATCTTTTTATCAACAACAGTCTCACAAATGCCTCATGTTTTCGGCATTTTTATTTAATGTGTGTGTGTATTTCAGGACTCAAATTTAAATTTTAAAATAAGTTAATTCAACTCATTCTATCAGTTAAACCAAATCTCTCTGAGTGATTATAACTTTTCCTTACCCTCTAAAACTTGAGGACGCATCAATTCAGCTGTATCTTATGCTATGGTCGCCTTGATTGGCAAGTAGCATGTAAACATTGCTTCTTTTGCACGGCAACTTTCATTTCTCTCTCGAAAGTGCTGTCTCAATTAACTCAGTTCAATTTGTCGCGGGAAAAGTCTTAATTAATTTTTGTAATTTGCAAGATTGGTAAAGCAAGATGCTTAAGAATAATACATAAAGAGAAGAAAAGAGAATAAAAATATCTTTTGTCCATGCAAGTTTGGTAGATTTATTGTTTTTTTTAATTTCTACACTTTAGCTTTTAACCTTTATTCAAATTAACGCTGTCTCCCCAACCCCACCAATTTATCATATTTTCACATCCGAAGCTTAAAGTAGCATCTTGATTCTAGGTGTATTGATCTCTTGTTAATTAGAACAACAAATTAAATTAAATTTAAAACTATTAGCCGGCAAATGATAGTTCGGTTGATAAGAATTTGACTTATAACTCAAAAAGTTATGGATTCAAATCCTATCGTCAATATAAAGATTTTGTTTGTGGACCATTTTAATAAGCATTCTTTGAGATTAGATGAATATCTTAGCTCTTGTGAACCTCTTAGAACCCAATTCTCCTTAAACTTTTTTTTTTTTTGAGAAAAAACCATCAAGTAGATAGAGTTACCAATGATTGTTAGTCCCAAGTGAATGTAATCAGATTTTTTTTCAAACAAGGTCTACTAAGGTTTAAATCTTATTATTAATGTATAGAAAAAAATAATCATAGAAGACATTCCGACAATATTTGAATTAAAACCACCCAAAAGAAACCAAAAAAAAAAAGCAGCTTAGTTTGGTATAAATTGATGGGGCACTTATTGAATCCATATCATCCTCCTCAAGAGTGAAGTGGTGTGGTGTGCGCGCGTGTCATTGACCATTGATTAATCTACTGTTCATTACCAATGGATTCAATAAGTGACTTATCAGGTTTTGAGGATTTTCCATATCTGGATCTTCGAGAGAGTAGCAATGGAGGAGGAGGAGGAACCGAACTTGTCTTGTTGAAGTCCAAATCAGAGCTATCCTGGTACCTATGGCAGCGCGATTGGGGAAAAGTGGTGCAACTATGTGAAAACCGTCCGGAGCTTCTGAGTGTAGGGATGGGAAGCTCAAACGACACGGCCTTGCACGTTAGCATCAACGATAACAGAGGCGATATCGCAGAGACATTGGTGGACATAATCAGAACTCACAAAATAGAGCAGGCACTGATAGCACAAAACAGCAAAGGTGAAACCCCATTGCATTGCGCCGCAGCCAGAGGGTATGTGCAAATGTGCCAACTGATCCTTGATGCAAGCCACGATATGGATAAGGATGTGGATTGGCTGTTGAGTAAAACTAACAGATGGCATGAGAACCCGATCTTCGTGGCGGTTGTCCACAACCGTAAACTTGCCTTCATATGCCTTTGCAAAGCATTTCCAGAAGGAGAAGTCAAATACTTTTTTGGAGGCCCTGACGGAGATTCTATCCTTCACTCTGCCATTAGGAGAGAACACTTAGGTGAGCTATCTGTCTGTGGTCGGTAATGTAGATTTTTGAATATTTGTCTTGCAAATTTAATTGATATTTTTTTTTAGATATTTGTTTTGAAAATGTTGTTTTTTAGTTGATATGTTTTTATTGAATATCTTTATACTGGTCTTTAGAGCTGTTGTTTATATATTAATGCAGATTTTATAAGTAAGGAATATGTATAGCTATATGTGATTTTTTAATTAATGCAGGTTTTATAAGTAAGTAATACATGTAGTTATAGGTTTTTTTTTTTAAAAAAAATAGTATTTATGACCATAAGTGTGGCTATAACTATCACCATAAATAACTCCTTACTCTTTTTACGGCCACAAGTTCTAGATTGACCTATAGTAAAAAGTGTTATTTTTGTCACAGTTTTGTTATGACTTATTGCAAAAACTTTTCATTTGCTATTACATAATCTTCTACTACACACCATCTTTTGTCGTGAAAAATACCTTTTAATTATGGTGAAAAATACTTTTACATTAGTGGGTGTATGTTTAATATATCGATGATTATTTGTGTTGTATTATTAACATATTCATACACACACACATCAATTTAGATTTGGCATTCCACGTGATCCAAAAGTTCCCGGAGCTTACGCACCACTTTAACATGATGGCAATGAGTCCTCTTGAAATCCTTGCAAGAACACCTTCTGTGTTTAGAAGTAGCTACAACCTTTCCTGGTGGAAGCAAATCATATACTCTTGTAAGTATACTTTTTTCCTTCAAATTAAATTACAAGACATTTTTTAATAGATCCAATATTGAAAAATATAAGTTATTCTAGTGTTTTTTTATGAGTAATTAATTAATTATTTTTCAAAAATATGTATCCTTCATGAATATTTCAAGTTAATGAGCTTTTCATATTTATTTGTAATTAAGTTATTAACCTATTAATCATGGATATGAATAAAGTAAGTAATTTTTAATGATATTAACTGTTTTCTTAGAGATGGTACTTAAAAATACCTCATATAATTTGGTGGATTGTATGAATATTATTGATAAGAAATAAAATAATTAATTTTTCTTTTTGTGCAAGCCAGGCATAAAAGTTGATCCGCTGAAGTATGATCCCAATCCTTCTTGTGAAGCAAGACCAGATCGCAGAAGCTCCAAATCTTATTGTCCTGAAAACTACCTCTTGTGTCATCACTTCCTCTCATGTTGGTTCCCCTGGTTATGCTTATAATTATATATTCCAATTATTAACTTAATTTTTTAATTTCTCATTATTATTATATCTTGGGCTGATTCGGCTTTTCTGTTAATTATATTGTTTGTCGTCTGCACTTCAAAATATAATATCTTTTGTGATGATGGAAGAAAAGGGTAAATATACTGTCTTTATTAAGATTCTTGTAACAATCATTTTTACGTTATGATCTTTTATTTTTGGAAGATATGCTATATATGAGCTTTGTTATTTGCAACAAATCTTCTATCTCTCTCTCTCTCTCCCTATATATATATATATATATATATCTTTTGACGCTAAATATTATAACAGCTTTTGAGAGAATAGTCTCAAGAACTTGGAGGAGGTCGAACAATTCTTCAAACCACGAAGCTAAAAGCCAACATCCTGATCATCACTTACATGGTAAAGTTTACTTTAATGTGATTTGGATACTATAATCTATACAAAACCAGTGAAGTTTGTATATGATAAAATAATAATATAAAAAATTTATTAATTTAACAAGTTTTATCATTCATGAGTCACAATTATAAAAAAAAAAAATCTACAGAAATAATTTGTTTTTTTTAAACCTATGGGAGCACTTTGAAAATGCTCGACATGTGCAGAAAGTTTAGGCCCATGGACATTGCTTACCTATGTATGTTCACCTTTTCACAATTATACATAAATGCTTCGATAACAACATTCTTTTTTAGGTTTTTGTTTTTGTTTTAATGATAGTGAGATTATATATATATAGTTGGTAATTATTTTTTAAATTACATATATATAATATAAGAAAAATATATCTGCAAGTCTTTATAGTTTTTCTTAATTTTGAATGAGGTATTTGTAATTTATTTTGCTTTAATTAAATCTTTATAGTTTGATCAATTAAATTTTTTAACCCTTAAAAATTTAAATCCTTAATTTTTTTCTTTAAAAAATAAAATTAAAAAAGTTTATATTTTTAAATTATTATAAAACTTTAAAATTAATTACATAATTTTTATAACTTAGTTTATATAAGTAGGTTGTCTTTTAAATATTTTTTATACAGCTTATCGATTTTTCATAAAAAATTATAAAAATGTAAATAGTGTATAAAATCATTTTTTTATTTTTGCTAAAAGAATTAAGTTAAATTTTCTATAAACTTCAAAAGTATTTTTGATTGGAAAATTTAATGAGGATTTTTTGCAAATATAGTATATGTTATAAGATTAAACCAAGCATATTATGGTCGGTTTATTATGTTTGTCAATCATTAACATTTTGTAAATTTTTAAATTTTTAATAATAATTCTTTTGTATATTAATGATAAATTCTTGTATATCAATGTGAACTAACCACACTTTTAATTTTTTAAAAATTTGATCTATAAACAAGATTTTTTTGACCATTAGGCCAATTTATTCATTTAATAATTCATTATTAATTTTAATCTTCAAGTATTAACATATTTAATAAATCAAACTGTAAGAGGCTCACTTAAAATAAAATAAACTATTGGACCTAGTTCAAAATCGAGAAAAAATTATAAGAACTTGTAAATTGATTTTTCTTGCAATATATTCAATTGTCATCTAACCATGCTTCAAATTTTTCCGGCAGGATTAAAGAAGGAAGAAGGGGAATCAGCAATAATCCCAAATAAGCATGTTATGAATAAAAGCTTTCCACAAAATTATGCTACATGTTATGAGTTTCTGGCCTTTGTCTACCTAAATTTTCTTGGCATGCTAGGATTTGGTATGCCACCTTCAAAATTTATAATTTCTTCATATATGTCTATCATGACTAATTAATCAAGTTTCTGTATCATACATGTGAATAAAAATGCATGCATGCAGGGAATATATTTACCGACATAAAGAAAGTGAAGCAAAAGTACATGTGGAGTCTTCAGCTATTGGATGCACTCTTGGAAAAGTCTTCAAATGAAGAATACATGAAACATGGGAATGACCTGGAATCCGCTTTCCCTGATGAATTTGATATGCTTCCACCGTTTGCTCGAAATCAATTTGGTAATTCATTTGCTTTTCATCTTCTCAAACCCATATGATATCTTGGGTGGGTTGGGACCAGTACCTCTTAGCCAATGTCTTTGTTTACAATTAGAATTTTTATTTATAATTGTTTGAATCAATATTAGTGAGCGATTAATGATTTTCAGACAATTTTGTCAAAGGGACCAAATTGTCATTAATTTCTTCAGTAGGGATTTTAATTATATATATTTGGATTAACGGGGATTTGTATTTAGACCAAATGCCTCATTGGAACCCACAAAAATTCATGAATTTATATTTAATTTAAATTTAAATTTATTTCTTATTATAATTTCTTTTAATTTCAAACTCCCTTTACATTTTAATCATTTAAAATTTTAATTACTTTAAATATCTCATTCTTTTCATGTTTTCACTATTTACATCTCTATGACTTTCATATATTTTTTCATTTCTCATTATAATCTCTAGTGGTTCTCAATTTTTCATTTTTATCTTGAATCTCCACTCTTTTTTTTTCACTTGAAATTTTTTAAACTATTCAAATAAAGAATTTTAAATATATGAATTTTAAATATGAATTTTGAAATGCAAGATTTTAAATCCAAATCCATCAATCCAATCGCTATTTAAAGTCATTCTCTCCCAATATTGGCAGGTGAAGTGGGCAAAGACAATAAAGTTGAGGAAATAACTAATAAAGCCCTGTTTGCAGCAACAGAGAACGGTGTGATTGAGGTAGTGGATAAGATTCTACGGAGATTCCCAGGAATGATCCCGGAAGATACCTTAGGATCATCGAACAAGAACATATTGATGGTGGCGGTGGAGAATCAGCAAGCAGAGATCTTTGTGGCACTTCGGCAACACTTGAACAACGTATCAAGGAAGCAAAACCTGTGGAGCGACCTCATTCACGCCGTGGACAAAGAGGACAACACCATTTTGCATATAGCAGCAAAGTACGACGAATCCTTGTCTCATGGCTGGCAAGCTTATGGCTCTGCCATGCAGCTGCAATGTGAAATCACCTGGTACGAGGTAATTACTTACTTATAATACATCAACACTACGTAGTAGTACACTGCACTCACACACGTGGTGATGTTGATCTGGAGTACTAAATATTCTTAGCCCTGATGTCTCTGAAATTATCTCATCTTATCGAAATTACTCCTCATAATTAAAATGCTCTATCTCTTCCTTTTTAATGAGACAAAACTATTGTACTCCCTCTATTCTTTATTATGCTTATTAGGCATTTTCTAACAGAGATTGATGATCCTTAAAAGTACAAGGCACTTGAGGTATTAATTATATTTTTTCATCATTACTGTTATTTAAACTTATTAATTGTGAGAGATAATATAATATAGTGTAAATTTAATTTTTTATTTATTTAAATATGGGTAAACTTAGCAATCATTTATTCTTTTTTAGACAAAGTTAACGATTTAACTATTTTTTCTTAAATATACCTTATGATAAAAACTGAAAGGACTATATCTTAATCTGCCCCCCCCCCCCTCATATTTTTACTTTTGCCCTAAATTATTTTGCTTGCCATGCATTGTCTTAACTTTATTTCAAAGTAGGCCCAGCCATTTTATTCACTGATTAGGGTAATTTTAGGGAGTTGTTAATTATGCTTCTAACATTTTTTAAATCATCTTATATATATATATATATATGGAAATACCACATTCTCCAAAATTTTCTCTTATACTCCTTTCAGACCAAAATATAGGGCATTTACAACTAATTTATTATTATAAAAAATGTTAGTTGAAACTTTAATTTTTTTCAAAAAAATTTACATATTTTCAATTTCACCCTCATTAAATTGTAAGTGCATGATAATAATAATTAAAATTTTAATACATTATTTTTTAAAAAATAATAACAAATGAAGTAGGAGTATAATTTGAAAAACAATTATAAAAGTTATTCAATACTTTATATTTTAGATTAAGTAAAATTTTAAAAAAATGCCTTATACTTTATATTTTAGATTAAGTAAAATTTTAAAAAAATGCCTTATATTATATTTCAGAAGGAGTATATAATTAGGAATAGAGGAAGTACTATTTTCTCTCTCGGACAATTTTGAGAAAAAACATATTAATTATTGTCTTAAATTTTGTAAAACGTTTTATTAAGAAGAATTATAAGAACGAAAGAAAGGAGTATTAGATATGCTTATATCCTTAATTTAACTGTTCTAACAATTGAAATTGAAATGCAGTATGTGAAATCATTTCTGCCATCCCACTTCCTTTTCCTTAAGAACAGTGCTGGTCAAACTCCGGTACAAATCTTCACTAATGGCCATAAAGATCTCGTTGAAAAGGGCAGTACATGGCTTAAGGATACGTCTCAGTCTTGCTCGGTGGTGGCGGCGCTAGTGGCCGGAGTTTCCTTCGCGTCGAGAACAGTCCCCGGAGGCACGGACAACAAAGGTAAACCTACCTTGGAAGGACATCCAGCATTTGACCTTTTTGCTATCAGCGGACTCATGGGACTAGGATTCTCTGTCACTGCACTGGTCATGTTCCTCTCCATACTCACATCTCGAAAACAGCCTATAGATTTCAAAAGGAATCTGCCATTTAAGCTTCTCTTAGGGTTGAGCTCGTTGTTTGTGTCGATCGTGTCCATGTTCATATCATTCTGTGCTTCGCATTTCTTCGTGCTTGAGGACAAGTTCAAGAAAGGACTGTTTCCTCTTTATGCTGTTACTTGCCTTCCTATTTCCTTCTATGCAATCGCTCAGTTTCCTCTTTACATGGATCTCCTGAAAGCCGTCATCAAGCACGTTCCCCGGTCACAAAAATTTGTTGAGTTATGAACGATCTGGGGAATCTCTTTCCTCCTTTTTATTGTTTTTTCATGAATTTTATGTTTCCCAATTAGTTTGATCATATTTATTCTCTTTTTCCAATATTATTTTATTGGATTTTTGAGGTGTCAGAAATTTCATCTAATTCTTCTGAATGAAAGGCTGAGATTTTAGATATTAGACACACAGTGGAGAGAGCAACAGACACCCCAAATCCTTTTTTTTCCTGATGTTATAATAATTGCTTTTCCTCTATTGATTTTGGAAGAGTACTCTTTACTATATATTGTTCTATTTGTGCTGGTTTGTATTTATATATATATATATATATACATATATAACTCAAGTTACGATCTTTTTAATTTGCCCCAATTTTTATATTTAGTTTCAGTTTGTAAAAAATTTATTTGTTAAAAGTTGATTTGTCACCAGTGAATTTGATATATCCAGGTGCTTCCAGATCATGCAGGAAAAAGCACAGAACATAAGTACTTGAAAAATTAAAAAAGAACTTCCATATTCTACCCTACTTCAAACAAACAGAAAAAAGAAAGCCACTAGATAGCACAGCAAGCCTGCTCTGCTGGAGATATGTATGCAAATAATTTGAAAGTTAAACTTAGCAGTAGTATTAAAAATCATGAATCCAACTACCAGCATTATACTATTTGCTTTTCAGAATCAGTCCAACGCTGAGACTAATTAAGAAGTGGCTTCATCACATCAGACCTAAACTGATGCGGGTCATGTATACATGTCAACACGTTAAACTCAGGCATTTCTGTATCAGAGCCACCTTCTGTGTTGTCAGGTTTCCAGCCTGCAAATGAGAAGACAAAATACAACACAGATCATAAACACTTGACATTGGAAAATTACTGGGGGAAAAGATCAAAGTTCAAAAGAAACTAATGATGAGAGGAGCTCTGGTCCCATCCTGAAGAAAGATCACCAACATTACGATCCATATATAACCTGGTTTTAGGTCAAGATCATCACAAAGCTCTTTGCTTCTGTCTCATTTTAATTTTCTGGTCCTGTGTCTCCCTCCCATGCGTGAATGTACAAAGCAATCAGTAATCAATAATAATCTATGGAAGAAATGTTCTTCTATACATAATTAATAAACGGAAAAATCAAGAAAACATCCTAATGAATGCACGTTCAGAAACATGTGTGAAAATCTAATATACGACTTAGACAATAGCACTATATTGCACATAGAATGACTCTCATTTTATGTAAAAGACGATAAAAAGGAAAAAGAAAAACGAAATCGGTTATGTGAGGCCTTACAAAAGGCCATCAGATCTGCGTGAGTAGTCAAGCCAATGCTTTAACAACTTTGACTATTAAAATTGACTTGCAGAATGAGAAATCTTCACTACATATATCACAAAGATCTTGTTAAAAAGGGTGGGACATGGCTACGAACGCGTTTCAATCTTGCTTGGTGGTGGCTTCGCCGGTCACCGGAGTTTCCTTTGCAACGTCAAGCTCCTTAATTTCCCCGGGGCTTCAATATATAAAAGGGTAAGCCAAACTATGAAGGACATGCATTAGCTTGCATTTGAACTTATTTCAATATCACTGCACTCACTAGTGCAAAAATCATCTTTCGCCACAGTTAAAATGTATTTTTGACGACAGAAAATATTATATAATAAAAAATCATGTGGTAGTAAATAGACATTTTTCACCATAAGTCAAAAGAAACTATGGCAAAATATAATATTTTTTGCCATAGGTGCCATCTGACCTGTGGCAATAAAAATTGCCACAGGTCCAAGACCAGTTGTGGTAAAAAATTATTCTAGAGCTCATTTATGACCATAGTTCTATCAATAACTGTCGCCATAAATGGCTTTTTACCATAGTGTAACAACTATGGTCGTAAATATAATATATTTTTTTACTTATACAATTATATCTAATATACATTCCCTTACTTACAAAACTTGTATTAATTAAGAAACAGTAGCTCCAAAGACCAATACAAATATGTTTGGTATATGAACTAAACTTACATTTCCAATACAAAATATCTAAAAAGTTTATACTCTAATCCTGTTAATTTTAAGAAAAAACTAAACCACAAATTGCATATATATCTCAACTCTTGCTTAGAATATGGTTCTAAACTTTGAAAGTGCTGTAAATTCAATAACAATATATGTATGAATAATAACTCAAGTATATGGAAAACTTCATAATTATAAATTGTTATTTATAAATTATTACCTGATCAAATGAGTGAACAATACCTTGAGTAATGATTTTATACATAAAAATCATCACATAATAACCGCATTCTACATTTCCTAGTTGTTGAGGACACTATAAAGAAAATAGAAATAATTAAATTCATTAAATCAATATTATAATCTTCATTATAATTAAGGAATAAATTTAAAATACTTACTTATATTGGTACAAACTTGATTTCATTTTTTTATTGTCAACCATTCCCGCTAATTTTTAATATGTCACTAAAGATCTATTTATCAAATATACACACTTAGAAAATATTAAATATATATTATTAATAATACAATGGAATTATTTAAAAACTTACAATTCAATCAAAGACTTCATGTCATCGCTTACTTTCCTTTTCAATGAACAAAACTAGTATATAGTATTTTCATACGAGCAAATGACAGGAAGCATCCAATGATAACTACAATATATTAATTTATATTAATATCACATTATTAAGCAAATATTTTTATAAATTGAGTGACGAATTTAAAATTTGATACCTCTCAATAATTGGTAAAAATCAGCATATCTTTTTTTGCTTACATATCGTCTTTTCAATATAAGAAGCTCTTTGATTCACTTTGCTAGTGGAGGTTAAAAGTGGAGATAAGAACCCATAATTCTCATCGACATCAAGTTCAGTGCATATCTTGTGAAGGTACCTTTGATAATTAGACATATATTAGTAATAAAATAAAAATATCAAATATTAATTTAGAAATAAAAAAGAATACTTACATGATAAAAACTTGAATTATTGACAAGTCCAACTACTAAAAAATAATGAGGTCATTAATATCTTTTCTGGAAACTTTAAAAGTAATAGGCTTCCCAATAATCTTTTCGATTACGTTAATTTTATTAGACAATTCATTTATATCAACCACCACTGAAGCCAATCATTTCAAATCATCTTGTATCGGTTGGGGATTGAAACCCAAAGATTCTTTTGATTGTAAGAGTTCCTATAATTAACATATAATAAAAATTAGAAATACCTATGTTATTAATTAAAAAAATAAAAAATTATAACATTTTCATACCTCTTCAGTAACTTGTCGGACTAGCTTTTTCAACCAAATAGTGAAATTCAAACATACATTCTTCGCGCTTGTCATCGAAGATGTCTGAATTTCAAACATATTAATTATGTCTAAAATTCAGACATATTAACCTAAAATAAGATAAATTAATTTCAAAAATACTTAATTAATTTAATTTATTTAATAAAAATTAATTTACCTAAAATAAGAAATACTTAATAAATATAATTTATTAGAATTATATTATTAATTACTAAATTTCATTTTAATTTATTAAAATTAAATTTTTTAATAAGTAATTTACTTATTTATGTCTTAATTAATTTAATTTATTATAGTTATTTTTAAAATTAATTATATTTAGGTAATAAACAATTGAGTAATAATTTACTTTAACTAATTAATTAAATTAAATGATTTATTTTTTAAAATTAATTAAATTAATTTACTTTAACTAATTTCATTTATGGCGATAGTTAATTTTGGGATTGTGGCTATAAATGAAATACATAAGCATTTAATTATGAAAAAACTACTTGCGCATATATTGCCACAGGTTTTTGAAAAACTATAGTGAAAAATGTGTTATTAAAATTTTATTTTTGCACTAGTGACTAATCGTCTACTAATATTGTAAAAGCATTATGCTATTTTTGTTGGTTTGTATGTTGAGCGATTTCAAGCTTTATGAGGTTAAAAAAAATTACAATTCTCTCAATTTGTGATGCATGCATGTGATTTTTTAGATAAGTAGCTTCATTTGAAATGAATTATAAGAAATATATATTACATTCCTATCATTCAAAGAGGGGGAAAAAGTAACAATCCAAATCTATAATATACACATAAATTAAGAGAGAAATAAATATTGCCTAAAATTTTTATATATTATATGTACCATCTTGGTGAATTATGTCTTGCACTATACCAAGTTTTATAGATCAGTTATGGTATTTTTAATTTAATTTATGAATAATATAATCTATTTCAAAATTTATAATTTATACTGGTATTGAAATTGATTTGATTTTGTTAATATTAGTGAAAATAGGTACTTTTCAATTGACCCAAATATAAAAATGTAAGAATTGCTCGCTTCCACAAAAAATAATGACGAGGATGAATGAATAATATAAGTATATCTGAAAAAAATATGAGAAAGAAATAACCAAAAATACAATCTTTATAACAATTTTGCATGATCACCACCATATGAACACGCACACATGCTTTCCTCTCCCATCATCATCATGAAACTACATGCACGCATGAAGTTTTATCAGTCCAAGCTCAATTAGAAGTAGAGGGCGCCGGCGAGAGCGGCAGCTCCGGCGACGGAAGAGAATCGGAGAGTAGATGCATCGCTGGACCCTGAATCAGTAGAATCGTAGGCACCGGGAGGTACTGGTCCGCCCATAGGAGCGGCGACGACGCTGTCAGGTGAATCAGCAGCTTCTAGGACTCCAATGGCTCCGCCGGTGGGAGGCTCAGCGAGGTCGGCTTCGGAGTTTGAGGAAGACGGAGCTGGAGTGGATGCGGCGGCGACGGCATAAGCCTGAACGACGGCGAGCAAGAGGAAAGCGAGGACCACAACCTGCCGACGAGCCATTTGGAAGAACGAATAATTTGGAAGAAATAATAATTAATTATTCCTTTTCTTATTATTTTTTATTGGTTGTGGTTGAGATTGTGAATGAGAAATGTTTGTTTATATAGGAAATGGCGAAAACAAGTGATGAGGGAAATGTTCCGAAGGCTGAGGGAGACCACTAATACTGTGTGGTTAATGTAAGCTTTTAAGTTGGTAATTACTATAATGACGGGCATGTATGTGTGTGATTTTTAGCGCGCGCGCATATATTCATATATATGATCTCGTGTTTACAATTATTAATTACTGGTTCTTATACAAATTACTTTATTAAAATAATTTTAAGAACTAGCTAGCTTTACTTGAGACTTCAGGGAGACAATTCTGTACAATATCTATTATCTATCTATTAATCTAGAGAAAACATAGCTTTTAATTTTTATACTTTACTCGTGTTTTACTTTTAATTCATATATTTTTTCTAGTATTTTTAAATTCTTACATTTTTAATTTTTTTATTATTTTTTATTCCTCCAAAATCCTTATACTTTATTCATATGGGGATCAAAGATAATAAAAAATAAAAATGTAAGAATCTAAAATATAAAAAAATACGAACATAAAAAGCAAAATGAAAGTAAAGTGAAAAATCAATATATTTTCCCATTAATCTATTAATGAGTTGCAAAGCATATGGACTGATTATTACTATTACATTTTAATTTTAATATTTTAGATTGTCATTGTCACAACGATTGTTTTTCCTAAGGAAATGTTTTTATTTGATGGTTTTTTAAATAAATAATTTTTCCCTCAAAGACTGTCGTTAATTATATATATATATATATATATAAAAAACTATTGAATAAGTTATGAAAACTACAATCAAATCAAAATTTATTATCTTCTGACAAAAAATCAATTCTTATTATCCAGGCATGAACATGTTTGATTTGCTCAGATATGAATTAAAATAATAATCAATATTTGAATATTTTAAAAACAAAATATTTCCAAACAAATCATGGTAAAAATAAGTTTTAAAAGGGCATTTTTATCTCACTCATCAATCGTGAAGATGTGAATTCAAATTCACACCCTTCATAAGACATGAAACTCATTTTTATTGGTTGAATCAATCTTTACTTCTTCCACACGTTGGGAATTGGTTTGGGTGCCATGCTGCTCGTTATTGTGGTGAGATTTGGATTATTTAAATTTTGATCTAGATGATTTATATTTAATGAATTATTATATATTATATTTTTTAAAATAAAAATTATAAAATAATTTTAATAAATTTTTTATGTTTAATATAGTCTAGGTTTAATTTGAAAGATTTAATTTAATATTAAAATTTTAATTATTAGTATATATTGACTATTCATGCATACTCTGCATAGTCTAGATTAACACTAAATTAAATTTGAACTATGCAGAGTAAATCTGAATAATCAATATATATTTATTATAAAAATTTTATTATTAGATTAGACTCTTTAAATTAAATTTAGATCATATTAAAATAAAAAATTTATCAAAATTATTTTATAACTTTTATAAATTTTTGTTTTAAAAAGCATAATATATAATAATGGGTTAAATCTGAATGGTCTATACCCAAATGGGGTCCTCACACATTGACTCTATTTGACTAATTCTACAATATTCTTATATTTTAAAAGAGAATTACTCTCAAGTTTTATTCAATACAATTAATTTCTCATAAATTTTTTGACAACTGAGTTTGGGTTGTGTTGTCATTTTTTCAAGTTTAGTTATCAATGAATATGAGAGTAATTAATTGTATTGAGTAGAATTTATATGTAATTCTTATTATATTCTAACGTAAAACTACATTCAATAAATATTTTTTTAGAAAACATTTTTAGGAGAGATACTTCTAATTGAACTTAACAATGTTCAAATTTGATCCAATTAAATAACCATTAGAAACCCTTTGAAAAAAATATTAATATTTAAAAAAATATTACACATGCCAATGGCTAAAGTCAAAGGAAAAAAACCCTTTGAAAAAAAAAACCCATGAACACGCAACCATAACAAAGAAACTAACAAGCAGTATAAATGGGCTTCATAATCATTTAAATGAATTAAAATGAGATCATATGATATTTAATTACCAATAAACAAAAAGTATCTCAACCAGTCTATTCCTTCCTTCTTTCTGCAGCAATTATCATAATCCATATCAAAAATTTTTCCAGCTGGTAGACGTGCAAGTAGATTCCTAGACCAAAAACATATAGCTTAAATTAAATAGAGAAATTTTTAGATGAACCCGGTATACCATGTTATCCATAATCTATCTAATAAAAACATAATATTTAAATATAATTAAATAAAAATTATTCTAATATTATTGATAATAGAGTGAAAAAATGTAAGAAATTAAATAAATTTTTTTGCTGAAATTAAATAGGCATTTTATTAATTATAAAAATAAAGTCATTAAAAATAAGTATAATTTTATTGAATGGATGATGGATGATGGATGATATGGCACACCTGATCCATTCAAGAATTTATCGCTTCAATAAATGTTATTTATGTAAATGTTCATGTAAATTTATACCACATTAACTGGTTGTCATGGCTAAAGTATATTTTTTTGGTCTTTTAACTTTATATAAAATTTTAATTTGATCATTTAATTTTGTAAAGTATTTTTTTTAGTTTTTTAATCCTAATATCATTAATTTTAAATAATTTTTTGTGTGTTAATTATTGTCATATTGAAAACAAATTAAATATAATATATCAACATTTGAAAATATTTTATTAATATTTAAAATTTCAACATAAAAATTTTTTGAGATAAAACTAATAATGTTAAGGTTAAATGATTAAAAAAATACTTTATAAAGTTAAGGGATTAAAATGAAATGTTATGTAAAGTTAAAAAATTAAATATATACTTTAGTCAGCTGTTCACATAAAATTAAATGATATCATAATTATTAAAATATAAATACAAATGAAGATTCTGTTTTTCTTTTTTGCCAAAATACATATCAAGATTCAAATTTTTATAATATATATTAAAAAAATTAATCAGGACAAAAAGGAGAGAACATGTATTTTTTCAGGTCCAGCAAGCCGGGGCCCAAATATATCAATGTCCCTCAAAGCTCCGATTCGAGAGTCGAATAGCGAGGGAGTGAGAAGAAACGGACCGATTCGTGAGGCGTTAGGGCTTTTCTTTCCCAGCGGAACACATTATCGTTCACTTGCGGTGCCTTCCCAGAACTCGCACAACAACAGTGTTTGCTTCTGAGAGGGGCGTAACAGTGAAAGTGATCGTCTTCATCTTCAAGTAATGGCGTTGGCTTTCGACGAGTTCGGAAGGCCCTTCATTATCCTCAAGGAGCAGGAGCAGAAGACCAGGTTGAGGGGCCTCGATGCTCAGAAAGCCAACATTTCTGCCGGCAAAGCTGTTGCTCGCATTCTCAGAACCTCTCTTGGACCCAAAGGCATGGACAAGATACTTCAGAGCCCTGATGGCGATGTCACCATTAGTCAGTTCCTTCTTTTCTCTTTCTTTACTTTTATTATTTTTGTTTTTTTCCTGTCTTTTTGGGATCGATTTTGCTTACACCTAGAAAATATACTTTCTTTTCTTTTCCTTTATTGGGTTATTTTGGTTTTGCAATTTCGATATGTAACAATGACTTCGCCTATTTGTATGAGTTTGTAGTTGCAATGTTATTTGTAATCACAGTTCGGTGGTTTCCTTAGAGATCTATGAGTTATACGAAATGAAATTGTGACCATTGTAGAAATGGTGAATTTAATATAGTGTTACCTCTAATTTGAAGTTGGAAACCACTAAGATATTGAGAACATTAGTTCTTATTGGTTTCATTAAAGCTACTACTGGCTAAATGATTCATTAACCTTAGAATTCAAAGTGATGTGCTCAATTTGGATAATTATCCTTGAGGAAGAGTAAGATGAAGTTTCCTAACGTGGCAGTTCAGCTAATTTTGAATAGTCAACGTGTAGTGGCAGCGCCCATTCATTTGATGTCGTTTAGTATGCCTCTGAGTTAGTAATTACCTAAGTTTGATACCTACATCCCTATCTTGGGATGGATGGCTGTACTTTGCAGACCCAAACTGAAATTGAATATTAATTTGACATTTGAGATGGTGAAATGGATTCTCCATATTATAAGATTATTTGCAATTCATGCAAGGTGTGTGGCTTTGCATTCTTATTGCAACTGAGATTCCTGAACAGTGATATTGTGAGTTTACAGCCAATGATGGTGCAACAATCTTGGAGCAGATGGATGTTGACAACCAAATTGCAAAACTGATGGTTGAATTATCTAGGAGTCAGGATTATGAGATTGGTGATGGCACCACTGGAGTTGTTGTTTTGGCTGGAGCACTTCTTGAGCAAGCTGAGCGGCTGTTAGAACGAGGAATTCATCCCATTAGAGTTGCTGAGGGCTATGAGTCTGCATCCAGAATTGCTGTTGAACATTTGGAGCGTGTCGCTCATAAGTTTGAATTTGGACCAAGCAATCTGGAGCCTCTGGTTCAAACTTGTATGACTACCCTCTCCTCAAAAATGTGCGTACAGTTGATTCCATTTTGTGATACTTCATGGAACCATGAACCGAATGCGTGAGATAATTGTTGCTTTACACTAAATAATAATAAATTAGTCATACATGTATGTGTATTGATAAATTAGTTATATTATTATAAAGTGGCAAATTTTAATAGTAGAATCAATCATCTTGATTTTGCAGTGTGAATCGGTGTAAGCGTAGCTTGGCTGAGATTGCTGTCAAAGCGGTTCTTTCTGTTGCTGATCTGGAGAGAAAAGATGTTAACCTAGATCTAATTAAAGTAGAAGGAAAGGTTGGGGGTAAACTGGAAGACACAGAGCTGATATATGGAATTCTTGTTGACAAGGATATGAGCCATCCACAAATGCCAAAGCAAATTGAAAATGCTAAAATTGCTATCTTGACTTGCCCCTTTGAGCCTCCTAAACCAAAGACTAAGCACAAGGTTGATATTGATACAGTGGAGAAGTTCCAAACATTACGGAAGCAAGAGCAGCAGTATTTTGATGACATGGTTCAAAAATGCAAGGTAGCATTTTATTATCAATCCCATGATTTTTCTGTCAACTTTAGGTTTTGGCTGATATATAAATTTTCTTGTTTAACAACAGTAGCAACTTTTGACTTTTTCTTGCTAGAATTTGTTTGGATTTTTATAAAAGGTAACATTTACTCTTTTTTGTAGGATGTAGGTGCCACTTTGGTTATCTGCCAGTGGGGTTTTGATGATGAAGCAAATCATCTCTTAATGCACAGGAACCTGCCTGCCGTCAGATGGGTTGGTGGTGTAGAGCTGGAATTGATAGCAATAGCAACAGGTTTGGTTTATTTAAACTTCTAATGTTTCGAAGATATCTTCTTTAAAATAACTTAACTTTATTTATGAATGAAACCATTTCTATAGTATTTATCTATTGGCCTATGTCAATATGATGATCTGTTTGTTGATGCAGGAGGAAGAATTGTGCCTAGGTTCCAGGAATTGACTCCAGAAAAGTTGGGAAAGGTATCGTGTCATCCATTATTTGTCAATACTTGTTCCTTTTTTGTTGTTGGAAATAGAACTTGTTTTCTTTTCTGTTCTGATGTCAATATTTTTTTCATCTTTTTATTGGGGGGAAACTGATACACCTTCCACTCGTTATTTTTACATGTTGATTTTACATGCATATGTGAGGTAAAGTTGTTGAAACTCGTAGGAGACACCTTTCCCCAGAAAACTTGGTTGAATTTCCTAACTGTGGTATCATTTTTCCTGTCTCCGTTGTTGGGTAGGAATGTTAGAATGTTGTACACCAAGAACTCATTCTTTATGTGCATTTGGTTATAACCTACATTAATTTGTGATCTTATCTTATATTTAAGGCTGGTCTAGTTCGAGAAAAATCATTTGGTACAACAAAAGATCGAATGCTGTATATTGAGCACTGTGCAAATTCAAGGGCTGTAACAATATTTATTCGAGGAGGTGAAGACATGTACCTATTATTGTATTTCTATCTGACTGGTTTATATTGTATTTCATTTAGTTTTGATTAGCCATTATGTAACGAGTTACCTGTTTGGAGAAAACAATTGAGTGTCAAACTGTTCAATATTCCAGTTGGTTTTGGATTTTAAATCTCATTCATTCTTTGTATATATGGTCCTGTATTATTGGCCTTGCCAATTTGAGTTCGTGGGTTGAGGCTTTGAGAGTGCAACTTCTTTAAGATACTGTTTACCAAGGAGTGATTAGTTAGTTCTGTACAGCAATCTTGACAAACTAATGGAAGCTGTCTATTTTGGTAGGTAATAAAATGATCATAGAGGAGACAAAAAGGAGTCTTCATGATGCCTTGTGTGTGGCTAGAAATCTCATTTGCAACAATTCAATTGTATATGGTGGTGGCTCGGCTGAGATATCTAGTTCTATTGCCGTGGAGGCAGCTGCGGACAGATATCCTGGAGTAGAACAGGTTTGAGATTATTGTTTTTGCTAATTGTAATGCAGTATTAATTGCTGACAATTTCCTTTCTCCTGCAGTATGCTATCAGAGCATTTGCCGATGCACTGGATTCTGTCCCGATGGCCCTCGCTGAAAATAGCGGTCTCCAACCCATTGAAACTCTATCGGCTGTGAAGTCTCTGCAAATAAAGGTAAATCAAGCATGATGATTGTTTTACTTGCACATGTCTGTCAATTTCTGGATTCTTGAATATGTTGTAGCACTAACTTCGAATTTGCAGGAGAACAATCCCCACTTGGGCATTGATTGCAATGACATTGGCACGAATGACATGAGGGAGCAAAATGTCTTCGAGACATTGACCGGAAAGCAGCAACAGATTCTGCTTGCTACTCAAGTCGTCAAGATGATACTGAAAATTGATGATGTTATTTCTCCTTCTGCGTACTGATTCATTAGTTGTAACTCGGTATTTCTGATGGGTTGATTTGGTTTCTTAGAGCAGGAGACTCATATGGTTCCCCTGATTAAATTTGTATCATGGATTTTGTCTTGGCTTTGTGTTGGAGATGCTTGACCTTTTTTCTTTTGTTTGATGGTCCCATTTTTTAACCTTGAAAATTATGGATTAATTTATTGTCGTTCTGAGCTTGTAACAGTCGACAACAGTGGAAATGAAGTGGGCTTGTTTTTGTTGGTCTCGCGTGTTACTATTGTTTCAGAGTTTCGATTCCTCACATCTTACTTTTATTGGATTAGTGGTTTGTACTATCCGTTTGATAAATGTGTTACTTTTTGTAGGATTTATATTTATTGATGTTACTTTTTTAATTAGAATTATCATATCTGACATTTATAACACCAAGCTTCAATTTCACAGTTCTTTGTGCCAAGCGGATGTTAATCTTGATTTTCAAGGATCGGTGAGTCTTATATTTGGTAATTTTATTTTTCATGTATTGAGAAAACCAAAGATTTTAAAACTAAACTTGTAATTAAATCAGATAAGGCATTGGTTTGTGGATTACTGATTAGAAACGTGATTGAACAAATTATAATTGAGTATTATTTCTAATTTTGCAAGTTATATGTAACATTACAGGTAAGATTTTATAAAATATCATCCTACAAAAATAGATTTATAGAATGAGTTTTAATAATTTTGTTTTTATTATTAAATATCATTTTATTAGTACGTAAAAATTGAAAGGTAAAAAAAGAGGGGGGTTGTTTTCTTTTCAAGTTGGCAAAAATGTGATCATAGCGCAGGACTTCAAAAATATAATTAAAAAAAGTTAATTAATATTTTACAATTTTAAAAATAAAAAGAAAATGAGTTAAGAGATATAATATTTTATGATGTATATAATTATTTTAAATTTTATAGTCTTATTATAAATACACCCCCCAACCATATTTCTTATACATTTTTCACGAGTCTTCTTTAATGTTAATAATGTATGGATATGCATAAAATATAAGGAGAATTGCATTGAGAGCTATTGGAAGAGAATTTATAACATGAAAGGCCTATGCATTTTGAAATTAAATAAAGGGCCAAAGTCCTTAAATATAATTAAATTATATAAATCAATTACCTAAATGCCCATAAGAAAATATATTAGCAAAGCTACTTGTGTCCAAGGGTGGGCAGATGCACCCCTTGGAATTTTAGAAATATACATATAATTAATGTTAGAGGGCGTATATGTTTTAGTTGTCTCTCTCCCTGGTGTTCTAATTTTGCACCCTCTAACGTCTAGTCTCCACTCCGTCTTTTTTTTTTTTTTTTTGAGGGGGGGGGGGGGGGCCGAGGCAAGTGGCTGCTTGGGTGATTGATGGGAAATTGGAAGATATAGTTTTTTTTTTTAATATTATATTTGTGATACTTGTAAAATTTTGAGAAAACAAACATTTTTTTATATTTGTTGTTTAAATACTATCTTAAATTTGTATTTTTTTACTTTTTAATTAATTGAATATTAAAGATACTCTATATATATGTTAAAATATGATTTACATTAAAGTGAAATTGTCATTAGAGCTTGGAGGAGGAATAATCTTTAAACAATATAAATCTAATTTGTATAACAATGAATTAAAATAAATTTTAAAAAATCACTATCAAAATCAAGATCATAATAAGATACATAATTTATATATAATTAAAATTAATTGTTTAATATTTAAATAATATCATGCCCCCCTTGGCTAAAGATCCTGGCTCCGCTACTGCCGATTACTAGAGTTCTAGCACTAACAAAATAATCAATAGTAGTCAACTTTAAAAACTAAAGAATAGGGGTCCAAGGGAGTTTGAACCCAAAATCCTATGCTTCTCTAAAATGTTAAAGACCAGTAAGCCAAGTAATTCTTTAAAATACATAATGCAAAATAATGTAAGTTTTGTTACCAAGCATATCCATGACCATTATTAATTCTTGACATATTGTTCAAATTTGAATAAGCATTTGTTAATATTTGGATTTGGCTTGTCAACATTCAAAAAATAAGTTGTTAATTTTCAAAAGCCAACTTGTTCATTAATTATTGACAATATGTATGTGTTATAAGTTTTGTTCCAAGCATTTCTGTAACATCCTAGATTTTAAGCTTTGACAAAAATTAAGTGCTTACAAAGAGTAAATTGGTAAATTGAGTAAATTATGAGTTAACAGTGTTTTTAAAATACCATCTAAGTAAAAATTCAAGTAACAAGGTTAGGGTTTGTTCAAACCCTAAGTAAAAATTGAAAGATTGGAAGTAATGTAAGAGGAAATTTGTGTTTATTTAAGTGTTTGGGTGTTAAGTAAAATTAATGGAGTGTGATAGAAGTGTTAATGGTGTTAAAGTAGAATTCTTTGTATAATAAGTACCTAAAATTAAAGTAAAAATGAGTTAATTGGAGTGAGAATTGATGATCAAATGTTTAGTCCCTAAGGACTAAGGGATATGACTGGTGGCATATCCACGGCGACCTAGTAGTAAGAGGTAGTCAGGCTCTTTTACTAGATCAGATACCCCCTTTGTTGTTGTCGAATTTTATCAGCCAGCTACCTTTTAGGAAACCTAAAGTTTCTCCTTTGTCTAAACAGCAACTTTCCTTGAAGTCGAGGCATGACTTTGTTCAAAAGTTACCCAGGGGAGATGTATAGATTAAATATTGTTCGAGTATTGTTACGCTAGTAGACACTTATGGAGCTAGTATTTGACCACATTAACTCTGTTAGTGACAAAAGGATTGAGGTAATCGAATTATCTAAACTTTCTATTTGTGTGTTTGGATAGTTGTGTGGATTTGCGAAAGCTATGCTACTATTGTTTTGGACTAGTATATTATTATTATAAAAAATGATTGAAATTTAAAAATTTTATGTGAAGTGGAATGTGTATCTATGTTGACACATTTGGGATTTTGAAAGATTTTTACTAAAGCCTAAATTTACATGTATACTTGTGAAATCATATGATTTGGTATAGAAATAAATCGTTTGAAAAGAATTCATGTTTAAATGGCTATATGTGTGGAATGTTTGAGCATAATAATTGTGAGAGGGTCCGTGTTCACTATAGAGTTATCAGGGGACATTGTTTGAAATCCATATGGTACATTGACACCTTGAAAGCCCCGCTGTACAATTTTATTATTGTTTAAAAGTTTCAGTACTATTTGGGATAGATTGGGCATATGACACCCCAGGTATTCGAGGAAAAGGGAAATTTGTGGTCCATAATAGGTGAAGGCATTCTTGGTTGTTGCCTCCTATAATTGGTGAGCTTGAGCTGGTTCAGTCACATAGACCTAGTTCTAATGAATTGTAGCCCACAAATTCAATCGGATGAAATAAGGAAGATATAAGGCGGTGTGAGGATTATGCCTGTGTTATAGCTGTATAGCCAATGTGCATGATATATGTTGATTAAATCACATGTTTTTGCCACTTCACATACCTATATATTGTTCTTCCAAGTAAGTTGCTAGTTTAGATTATTTAGTTACTGAGTCATCGATTCATTCCGTAGTTATATTTTATAGGTAAAGGTTTCGATAGAGGCAAAGAAAAGGAATGGGCTATGGAGAACTGAAAAACTTAAGTTTGTATGGCTCTTCCTCTTCTTTTGATAATTTATAACAAATATTATATGATATTGATGCCAACTTGGGATCATGTTATGTTTTGGGGCTACTTGCATGAGAATATGTGATTTTTAAGGTATCTCATCATAGAGAAATGTTATTGTAATGCAATTAATGTAAGAGGTCATGACACTAGTGCAAATAGTGTGGTGATGGTGTTTGTATGTGTTAGTGAGTCTAAGAGATTATTAATTGTGATTAATTGTTACCCTTTGAATTATTATGAGAAATGGGGTTTTGATGGTCATATTGTATTTGAAATGTATGTAATGACGTATGATTGGTTAATTGGGTTTTTTGTGGTCCATTTAAATTGGTTCAAGTGGTGTTAAGCTTATTGGATTAGGTTAGAGAGTTGGGACACTCTTATATGTGTTTTGAAAGGAAAATGGACAATTTTATGTTCGGATATCCAACTTTTAAATGATTTAGTGTATGGTTGTGAAATTATGTCAATAGCTAGGTAGCTTAAATAGCTACGTGTGGATACTTGAATTGCTTGAATTGGACATCAAATGGTAAAACGATGTGCTTCGAAAATTGGTCTTAGAGTATTGTCATGATAGCTGGGGTGTGCTGCAATGTAGGGTGTGTGCGCCGTTGCTCACTGCATAGCAAAGGGCTACCCACTTTGTGCCATTTGCCATGGTGGATGATATATGAGCCGCGGCGAATGGAGTAGTTTGGCAGATGTCTAAATTGCTCTCTTTGGTGCTTAAATGTAATGTTAATTTGTTTTTAAGCTTTCGCTATTTCTTTGCACTTGTTTTAAATTATTATTTGAGCTTAAACATCACTTCAAAAAGGGTTTCTTGAGATCCAAATATTTCAAACTTATTTTGTTAAACCTTTATTTATGATCACTTATGATAAGAAAATAATTAATCTCAATTATCATAATGATGTTGTGTGTTTTGTTCTATGTCCTGACAATGTTAAGGTGAACATTACAATTTTCAAATCCATTATTAATTTTGGACCAGTATTAATTTTAGATGTATTGTTATTCAAATCCAAACAATTACTTGTTAATATTTAGACTAACTCGTCTATAATAAAAAAAAAATAAGTTGTCAAATTTTTAAGATCAACCTTGTAAGGTCTCCCTTATTAATCTCCAATTAACTTCAAAATCAAAGAAATCAAGAGGCTAACCTAAAAGATTTCCAAAATTGTAAGTCTTAGAAAACAAAATCTCAAGTTTACAAAATTTAAAACACTTCAATATACCATCATAAATTCAAAAATCAAAGTAGAAAGTGTACATGGAACATGGGATTTTAAACAAGTTAAAGCATTTCCAATATGGTGAAAAATAGCAAATGCTGTGACTTGTTGTATGTGTGTCGCAACACATTTGCCTTTATGCCATATGTTGGGATGCATTACCTATTTTTTACAGCATTGTTGCTATTATGTGATAGCAATTGGGGCGAACTTCCCATGTGCCCCATTTCATAGTGCGACAATTGATTAAGCGATTTAGGTGTCTATAAAAAACTTTTTTCTAACTCTAGCTAACGGCACTAGTTTCACAATTAAATTATTTCACAGTCAAAAATTGAACACTCATTTCTCAACTTACTTCTTTTCATAGCTTAAACACAACTTGGGCGTCCTAATTTTGTTCCAAGTGCCAAAAGCTCAAATTACCTTGGACCACACTCAGTAAACTATAATAGACTTGTATAATACACCATGTCTTACAAATAACATATCTAACACATTTTCAATGCTCAAAACTTTAATTGAAAAAAAAACAAAAAGGGGAGCCTCAATAGCTTAATCATTCATTAATCATTATCAATCACATGCAATATTCATCTCTCACTTATATTAGTATTTTAGCTCTTTTCCAAAATTCACAATAAGCACATACATAACCTAGGGCCTAAAATGTATAATTTAACTTAACATTTACATAATGTAAGTAAGTAACCATGAATTATTCTAGTTAGCAATATTAAAGTAAATTATACACATAAGTAGTCAAATTGAATGAGGCTTGCAATTTATGATAGAAATTCTAAGTCTCAGTCTATTTCCCTCCACTTTGTCCCAATGAGCTAGCTCTTATAACATTGAAGAGAGAGAGAGAGAGAGAGGTGAATATAATTACTCAATAATTAAAATATGTCTAACTTATACCAATGAATGTCAATTAATTTAGATGTAAGTGGCAATTCATTATCATACTTATGTCATTTTAGCATGTTCAAAACACACATTTGCAATTTTCATCATTAATAGCATAAATTCATGAAATGACAACACGATAGCCAATTTTTCATATTAATATAAGAGTAACTACATGTTTTCATCACAAGGTCATAATACAGGCAACCATGTGTCCTTTTATCATAATATACATGATCACGCCTCCCTTATATCTTCTTTTTACCTTTGACATAAAATCATGGGATATTACATACTAGGATCATCTATGTAATGAGAATACCCTAACTAGTCACGGTATGAGAAGCTAACTAGCCAAGATTGCTTAAATAGCTTGTGGATCATGATTTTCTCCAAATCTCACACTTGAGGTGTCTTTCTCCTTAAAGTAGTTTTCTCGTCGAACAAATAAAAACTAGAGTAAGTTCAAGTCCCTTATTACACAATGAAATAGTCTCTTTTCGAACAAATGAGACAATAAGTATAAATAAATTTTAGCAAACCATCAAACTCCAATAGTAGCCTTACCATGTAGATTTTAAACTCATTACTCTCTTCCTAAGTAAACTCCTACCTCTCATGATCATGCAATGCATAAAATGAGATATTCCTTTGTATGCAAAATACTCAATTTATAAGCATACTTAATATTATCATTATACTTACATCATATATGATTATCATATAAACACAAAATAATAAATCATTAAACACCATATCATATTACATTATTGAATTCCACAAAACATCTCGTTGAACTCCACTTACCAACATTCATTGAACTCTACATTTTACACTAGTGCTAGTATTTCAAGTAACCCAGGCTCAATCCAGGTTGGGTTTATTCGGATCGGCTTGAAGTATCCTACCCTCTTAAAAAAGCCCATATAGTCAAGGCTAGCTCTAAATTTTTTTAGCTAAGTTTGAGCTGGCTTGTCAAACTTAGCCAAAATTATCTACTCTACATATATAAACAGTCAAAAATTCTAAAGGTTGGGCTCAATTCAGGCTGAGCTTATTCGAATCGAGTTTAAAGTATCATATCCCTTTAAAAAAAACCTATATTGCCAAACTCAGCTTTGACTTTTTTCAGATGGGTTCGAGTCAGCCTATTAGGCTTGGCCTGAATTACTAGTCTATTTTACACATCCACATTTCATAGAACTCCATACGATTCATGTCATTAAATTCTCCAAATTCATGATGTTTGATTTTCAAATATTTTATGTTGTACTCACATTTCAAATAATTTCACACATTATAATGTATAAATTAATAAATCAATTAATACACAAAAGTATAAGAGAGATTTTTCCTGCTTACCTCAAACCTTTAAGAGGTCAAAGGTTTATCCCTTAAATACATACTTTTAAAGTTTTTTCAAAACTTGAATGGTACCTATAATTGATTAGTTTAAAATTAATCACATTAACCATTATTAATATCATTTTCAAGAAAATTTTCAATATTTAAGTCAACAGTTTTAACTCTCATAACTCAATCTCCTCATACAAAAAGGTACCTATAGGATTTATTAGCTTTTTCTAACTCACATTAACTTCGTTGAACTCCCAACTAGCCATTAATGGCTTCACATTGCTCCAACCACCTTATTTATGGTAGAATTTGGAGCATTTATTATCTCATAACTACCAAAACTCATAATGCCATAAATTTTAAGTTTAAATAACTTAAACAATTCCTACTAATTCTATTTAAGTAAATGGTTTCGGATCATAGCCTTTATAGGCCAAAAGTTATTTTTTCTAATAAACCCAAACTTTCAACATCAAGAAAATATAAGAGGAGGAGAGGGAAAGAGCTTAAGAACCTTACATTTGATGGTTAGAGGCTTAGCATTGCTCCTAATTCCTCAACTTTGCAAGCCCTAGTAGAGGAAATCTCAAGCCTTTCATTTTTCTCCTTCTCTTTCTCTTTCTTTCAGTCTATTTTGCATTCTTATTTCTTTAAAAATGTGATCATGCATCGTGGCACATGCACTACACTTCATAGTATGTGGTATAGAGAAGAGATCCTTGCATTCTGATGGCTTTTGTACCGCGGCATGTGGCACAGAACCATTCTCCTTTGTTTTTCTCACTTTTTGACTTCGGGTGGCCCGATTTTGCACTAAACTCAATCCTAGGACTAAAATCACAACACATAACATCCATTAGCTTTATGTAACCACACACCACACTAATTACTTAATTAAACTCATTTACTCAACTAATTAGAGGTTAAATTTTTCAGGATGTTACAAACTTATTTCTTAATTATTAACAAGTTATCAATATTATATTGTATCGATTGTGACAATTGAGGAATTTAGATGCATGTAGGCATCAACAAGGAGAGAGATGGTGGATGGTGCGATGACAATGATGATCTGATGATTCTAATCCCATGAAGATTATTGTAAATTGTTGACCTCCTCTAAATAGTAGGTACCATGTGAATATTCTAATTGTTTTCTGAAAAAAAAAATTGATTGGAAGAGTATTCATTTGTTATTTTAACTAGGGCGTTCACGTTCGATTTGGTTTGATTTTGGATAAAAGTCAGACCGAACTGAACCAATCAGTTTGGTCATGGGTGAAACTTGATCGGTTTCTATAGAAGTCGGTTTAGTTAAGGTCTGAATCAAGTTTTGATGAATTTATTTGACTTTTCCCCCCTTTTTTCCTGTTGTTATAATAGCTGGTTTTTTTTTAAATTGATTTATGCATTGTTTTCTCTTTTATTGTATAAAAGGTCCTTGCTTATCTCATGTTTTATTTCAATCATAACATATTTATGGAAGGTCTTTGAACCTTGATTAATCACATATCTTATACATACATGTTCATTCTTTTTTTTTTTCATTTTTTTCATTTATTTATCTTACACCTTTATTTATTTTTTGCAAATTAATTTTATAATCGCAAGCAACAAAAGATCAAAATAATGATGGTGATCAACTAATCATTTTCATGATTATATTAAATGTACTATTTAAATCTTCATGGAAAAAATTCATCACCAAATAGCAAGTAGCAAACTTACAAATATCTCAAGTCTAAGTATCCAAAATTCCAAATATATGCTATTTAACATTAATACTTATATTCATAGTTCCATACATATATATTTAAAACATAATATTGATCTCTCAATGTCATAATATCAACTTAAACTATACCTATTGTTTATTATAAACAAACTGATATATTTAATTACAACTTATTCTTAAACAAAAAAGAGACATTAATATGCTTAAAATTATCCAAAAAATCATTCCATGTCAAGCATCAATCTATGATTATATGAGGCATAACAACTAAAACGAAGGAAGAAAACAAGTCAACACAACTAAAAAAATATTGGATTGGGTCAATGGGTTGGGTGACTAGGTGTTAGAATTAATTAGATAGATATTATATAAACAAATATTATTTGTTAATCAGGCTTGGTTCAAGTTCGATTCGGTTTTTAGATCTCACCACCAAAACCAAACTGAACAAATCAGTTTGTATGTCATAAAAATTGAAGTAAACTTAATCAATGGTTGGTTTTAGTTAGTTCATTTCAATCAGTTTTAAACACCCTTAATTTCAACCAAGTTGTAATATTTCTTAAGAGAAAAAAAACTAGAACAAATGTTTTGCCCAAAAATAATTAGATAAATATTTCTTCGTATAAAAAATGTAGGACATTTTTTGTTTTTTCAAGCTATTGTTGATTTAAAATATAAGACATTTTATAGTTTTATGAAATATTTTTTTTCATCATAGTGTTGATTAATGTGTGTTGAGTAATTATTAATGAAAAATTGTGAGTTTTAGTCATGGACAAGAGTAAACTTAAAAAAAAAAAATCAATTTTTCATAAGACTTTTAAGGGGAAAAAACCTAGAACAAATGTTTTGCCCCCCAAAATACACTAGGTAAATACTTTGTGTCAATATTGTAGGACATTTTTTTTAAAGTTATTATTGATTTAAAATATAAGACATTTTATTGTTTTTAACAAATATTTTTTTTATCAGTATCGATTAATGTGTGCTGAGTAATCATAAATGAAAATTTGAAGGTGTTAGTTGTGTAAAAGAGTAAAGCATTAAAAAAAAAAGATCAAATTTTCATAAAAATTAACAAAACATTAAATTTTTTTAATGTACATTTTATAATAACTAATTTAATTTTTTTTTAACTAAATGATATTTTATTTAAGCTCGTCGAAATTGGTTCTCATTTTTATCCTCCGTCCAAAACTGGATATTAGGCCAGTTCCCAATCCAATTGATTGGATGTTTGTTTGGATTAAAAATCCAGCTGAGTCACCACCTCGGCCATGAAGATTCCTTACCGTGCAAGTAACATTAGTTTTCAAGACCACAATGAGAATAAAAGGCCAATTTTAACCAAATTGTTGCTAAGCAAATGATCTATAAAAATAAAACCAGCATGAAACAACAAAAGCAGTAAATGAAAGCTTCAACAATGTATCAACTATCAACAACTAGTTGGAGCCTATGAGTAATCATATCAACAATCATAGTGCAGCACCATGAGGCCCTTGTTAGCTGTTTTCCCTACCATACTCCTTTCATGATGCTTTCTTTAATTCCCAATTTACAGAATGCTAAATGCTAAACCATGCATTGTGACCATAAATTAGTGGATATAATATATGACCCACAGAAATTTAACTGAGATCAATATCAACCCTCTCTGGTTTTCCCCTCTCAGTCTGGTTCGCAGTGAGCTCGATTCCTAGCTGTCCTTTATCCCCGGCACCAAACGCGTATAGCTTGCCTGATTCGGTGAGCGCAAAGGTATGGGCGTTCCAGTATATAGAGTTGGTCAGGCTGATCTGAACCACCCTTTCATTCTTCTGTTTCAGTGATGTTACAAGCTTTGGACTTAGAACATTTGAGTGGCCGTTGCCCTGTACACGTACAAACATTGAATAGATGAGCAACTTAGCAAAGTCAATATATTATTGGCAAACAAGGAACATAACTTGTAATAGAATGTGTCAATAATAGCAAGTAAACAATATTACAATCTGGTTTTGAAGCTACAATAAGATATACAGTCTAAAAAAGAACTTAGCAATAATGTATAATGTAAACTTGAATTTCGTTATTAGAAATCATCTACTAGTCTACAATTGGTTGCTTGGATCAATTGGCTAGAGGGTTGATCCAACTTAACCAAAGGTCTTGCGTTCGAGCCTTAGGTATGCAGTAGCGATTATATTCTTGATAAGAGGTCTGCCCTTCAAAATGGTGCTTGCAAGTTGTCAACTGGATCACTCTAGGTTAAAGACCTAAGATACCAGAGCTAAAGTAAAAATCGTAGACTAGTCTCACGAAGAGAAGCAGATTATATGTAAGATTTCTGTCCTCAAGATTGTGTTTTCTCACCAGTAGATCTACCTTGAGATCCAAACTCTAATATTTCACCCAACAGTAAAGTGATAATCTCAAAGTGCATCTAATGGTGAGACTTGAAAGGTGAAGCTCTCCATAGAATCATCCAAGAACATACAAAAAAGTGCAAAAGCAAAGCAGACCTGTCCATCATCATTTCCGGCGTTATGGCCAAGACTAGAAGATTCTCCACAACCAAATGAATACACATCACCATTGTCGGACACTACAAAGGTTGTGTAATCTCCTGTAGCAACATGAACTGCTTTGACATCGCTCAACGCTTCCACCACCTTAGGTACTGATTCACAATCTTCATTACCATGACCCAAGCAGCCATAGCGGCCCCATCCCCACGTGCAAACACGGCCGTCCTGCCCCACTATAGCAGCATGCCACGCACCAGCTGCAACTACCATGGGTTGAAGATTTAAATTCTGGAACTGTTCGATTAAACGAGGATACTTCTCATCAGTTCTTGAACCATGTCCAAGCTTCCCACCTAAGCCACACCCAACTGAGTACACTGACCTGTTATGTATTCAAGAGAGAATCATGAGATCAATAAAACTCAGCTATAAGTAATAACAATGATCTAAACTACATTCATCAGGTTCTCATGCAAGAACACGAAGATGTCAGAAATTCTGTATAAATTGACAGTCAAGGTAAGGAGTCACAGTTGGAACTCACATTCCACTAGGTTGACATGCCAGACAAAGTAGGTAGCAGTATCCAGCAGCTATTTGCACAACTGGTATGTGTTCAAGAGCTCCTAACAAAGGATGGGGTTGCTTATCATTCAGATCAGTATGATGACCGAGTCTCGCATCACTGCCCCAAGAAAATGTATAAACCCTGCCTTCTCTTGACAACACAGCTGTGAAGAAGTTTCCAATCACAGCTTGAACCACGAATATGTTCTTCAAAGACTCAACTAACAAGGGAGTTGTAACAATCTTTGGTCCTTGAGCTCCAATCTCAGCTTCCCCAAAGGAGTCTTTCCCAAAGGCATATACCTGCCCAGAATCACTGATTAACATTGTCCTCCCAGCCCCACAAGCTGCTTGTATAATTCGAATTCCTTGCAACGATCTGCAAAATAATGAAGCTCTGTAAACATTTAATCAACTATTGACCTTCCAATTAAGCTGCAATGAGTTAGATAAGGCCAAATGAACTAGCCTGATAGGGCAAGGTCGCCATTGCTCTTCAGTAGTACCATGCCCAAGTTGTCCTGAATTGTTGGAACCGAATGAATAAACAACCCCTTTTGATGTCACAGCAATACTATGACCAGGACCTGCTACTGCCTGTGATTTCTCCCTCCTACTACATGCTTCTCCTGCAAGCAGAAATCTCAGAACCAGTTTCCAAGAATCTCCACATATTTGCTTCAATTCTTGCTTCTGTTCTGTTGTCATTGGCCGAAAAATGGCTCTCTTTTGGCACATGTCGAATGCAGCAATCTCTGACAGGGACAAACTAAAGTCGGGGGTAAAGTTTGCAGGCTGTCTAAAGAAGGAGCATGTTGCCTGCAGCATCAGCAGCCGCATTCAAAATGGAACCAGCATTTTTAATATTAGTATCGCCATTCAAGAACAACTTCAAAATTGAAATGCAGACAAGTATAGCACTTGCCTCTAAATTAGCAAGGTCTTGAGGATCCAAATTACATGTTGTAAGGACATGAAGTACAATGGAGGGATTAGCGGACAAGGGAAATTCTCCAGGACTAGAGTCCCCATAGCAATGGCGTTGTTGTCGTTCAAATGGTGGTAGAGGTGAGGCAACAATGGCAGTAATTGGCTGGTCAGGAATGTTATGGTATTGAATAGCAGGGGTTCCGCTAGTTGTGGCATCCATGGGCACTGCTGATCTTATGCAGTGCCCAAAACTTTGCAGAAGAAAAGGTCTAAACTTCTGGGAATTATGAAAATTGTGCAAATTTTATTACTACATTAATTTCTCAATTAGTCCAATTATAGTATCTGAAACTCTAGATATTCTTCCAACTTGCAAAAAGTGTGTACCTCAAAATATAATTGACTAGCAAATCTCAGGTCTCAAACCTACAAAGAGAAACATGCTAATAGAAACTCATTATGTGACACAAACGTTAAAAAGAGAGGGGAAAAGAAAAAAGAGAGAGACACACACACAAAAGAAACAAAGAGAACTGAATTACAAGGCAATCTTTCACCATCTAGTATATTAACTAATAAATTTAATGCACCAGATGGCATACACTTGGACCATGGAAGCGGAGAATCAGAAAGCCATATCATCCCACAAAAAACCACTTGAAAAATCGGAGCCAGACAAGAAAATCAGGAGCCGTGGTTTAAGGCAACTTTTAGTTTATGTAACCCAGAGGAAGGAAAAGCTTGAAAGATGGAAGGTGAAAAACGCTGAGGCAAGGCGAACCATAAACGGAAACCTTGAGAACAAGTATACTATTCCAAAACGATGGGATATTCTATATCCAAAAAGGAATTTCAAAATCGGAGTCGTTAAGTCTAGTCTATTCATTCACGTGAAGTCATCATAACTCGTTGAAGTAAAAAGATCCCAATCAAAACGAACCAAACCAGCAAAATCATCCTCCATGGCTGAAAAACCCAGAAACAGAGATTGTAATTGCAATCGGCTTTGCAATCAATATTTCTGGAGGGAAAAGCGAAAGAAAACCACTTTTTTTTAGCTTTTCCCAGATCAGAGAATTGTCGGTGATCCAATCAACAAGTATACTTGTTGAAAACGCAACCAGAAAAAGGGCATTAGAAAACAAAAAATCTAAATCACAGGCTTAACAAGTTAGCGATAAGTGGATTATGATCGTTAACAGATCGAGGCATAAAAAACTCGGAAACGTGATTACATATCAGGGGCATCCACGATTCCTGAAAATCAGTCAGCATCCGTCAACGATTGCACAGAAATTCACGTTTTTCTTAACCAAAAGCAGCGAAATTTGGATCATTAAACAGCAGCAAGGTGGGTGTTCGATTAATGTCTATATCTATTAATGCATGTATGTATACAGACAAGTGAAAGTGAGGGTGTTTGAGTTTCAAGGAGATCAGGAGGAGAGAAACGAAGAGAGGATGGAGGGTTTTGTTTCTTGTCTTGTGTGATGTGGGTGGATGAATTGAAAAATTCTAGCTTTATCACGGGAAGCTTCTCTCTCTCGTTTCTCAGAGGTGATGATGACGTGTAATTTAGGATGAGCATTATTTACACGCAAGCATTCCCTCTCAATTAGAGAAAAAATTACTCATTTGGATTTCAACGAACAAAAATGGAATATAAAAAAATTAATTAACAGAATATGATTATATATGGATAATATTTTTTAAAATTGATTTTGATAATTAAAAATGTTTAAATAATTTTTTTAAAATCAATTATAAAAGCTCAAGTGGAAGGAAAAAAAAAGTTCAATTGATAATAATTGATTCTCAAATTCAAAAATAAAAATTAATTATTTGATACTTATAATTTTAGCTTAATTATAATTCAATTGTTAAACTTTGACTCATTATAACTTTAGACTATGAGAGCTCTCAATCATATGAATAGTTCAATGTGCACATTGGCACCTAAATGTGGATCATCCAAAGTACATTAGCATGGCCCCTAAATTTTTGACTCGATTTTAAATCAATTTTTAAATTTTAACTCTTACAACTTAATCCTTATATTTTTAATCATTTAAATATTGATCCTTATATCTTAAAAAATGGAATTATAAAAATTAAAATTATGTTAACATTTATTGTTGATATTTTAAATTACCAAACACTTTTAATCTTTAGAAGAATCAATATTTAAATGGTTGAAACTATAAAAACTAAATTACAAGAAGTAAAATTCAAGGACTGAATTAAAATTGAATTAAAACTATAAAAATTGAGTTATAACAAATTAAAATTTAAAAATGAGTTATAATTTAGTCAAAACTAGAGAGATCAAATAACTAATTTTTCTTTAAAAAAAAATTTGCCAAAAGAAATTTTATAAGGCAAATGAAATTTGAAAAAATTAAGGGTGTTGGATAATATTTTCCAAAACTATAGTTTTGTAGTAAAAATTGATTCTATACATATATCCAAACAAATCTCACATCATTTTAAGAACAAGGCTAATATATTTAATATAATTTTATCCAATCAAATTAAGACATGTAAACTTTAATATGTTAATAGTATTAATAAAAATTTATTATAGAATAAATAATTTATCATAGATACACATTTTTGATTTAATCAAAAACAAGCATATTAAATATATAAAGTTAAGTATGAAAGTTTTTTCTTTTAAATTCGTGTTTAATTAGAAATGGGTGTTGGTCCTAGGATAACCAAGTGTCATCGTCTAAATACCAATGTAAAAAAAAAAAATATATATATATATATATATATCTATATATATATATATTATTGTGAGAATTATTTTTAATTTAACCTTACAATATTTCAATCTAACCCAATTATATTATCATATTTTTTTTAAAAAAAAATCGTTTTGATTATCTCTTTCTTTCCATACTCTTCTTTCTCCTGAAATACATTAGTACATATTTTATTTTATTTTTCTCTATTTCAAAATATTATCTGTTATAGGATTATCCAACCAGAAATGGAAGGGAAGGGAAGTGCTGTGAGAAGAAATTCGTGAGTTGGATCATTTGCTAGTCTTCGAATCAATCCAACAATTCCTATCACCAAGAGATGGCTTCATGATTGATTATACAAATTGTGTAGCATTCTTTATTGAGGTCAATCTCATTATCTCACACATCCAGTGGAACTTTTCCCAGTTAAGTAGGTCAATAACTTCCATATTTAATACTAATAGAAAACAGTAAAATAGAAGATAAGGACATGGCAAATAATGTTCGGTTTGTATTTTTTTTTTTTTTCTTCCAAAAAACCATTTTTTAGCTATAATGATTATGCAATTAGAGATTTAGGTCAAGTTAACACGTGTTTTGTTTTTATAAATCTAGGCTTTGGAATGAAGTGTATGTGTGAGTAAACAAGGAAGCATCAGACATGCGATGCGTATTAATTGGCTTAACTTGAGGGCGAAAGGTAGTTTTGATCAAAACCAATGCAATATCAAGCGAACTAAAAGTCTTTTTTTTCTTGATATGGTTACCTAAACAAAGCAAATTCAAGTATTATTAAGCTCGCTTGAGAGTAGCTTTTATTGTTAAATTTATTTGAAGATAATTCTTTTAAAAATATTTTCTATATTTGTATATTTAAATTTCAAAATTAAAACATTATATTTGAACGACAACAATTCTTATTAAAATCAACATCTGTTTATAGCACATTATAAGTCTTAAATTGTGTAAAACAAAAAGTTTTTTTAACATTTGAAGAAAAAGTTTAAACAGGTTTGGCTCAACGACTCGCCAAGATCAAAATATATCTTTAAATTTAATGAATGCTTATAAAAGTGCTTATACATTACCCATTAACAACCATAATTTTATAAATTATGAGTGAAATTTTATCAATTAAATCAACTTTTATTGGTTGAACAAAAGGTTTTCTTTGTCTTCAAGATGGGAAGAGAGTGAAGATGAGGGAGGTAGATGAAGAGCATCTAATGAATTCATGGACAGACAAAAAGGAATGAGTGCTTTGTTCTCAATCATTTCATCATGTAAGCCTTCTTCATAGCCTTCGTAGAAAGAAATTAAGTAGGATCTGACATTTGTCCGAACGTAAAGCCAAGCTAGTTTCCCAAACATACGTAACTCGCGCAATTGATCAAATCCGATTGTTATTAGTATCATTTTAACTGGATCACGCAATTTACTCCTTTTCAATCCTGGCCATCAGCAACTGAACTTTCATTATTATCATATAGACATAATTTCTTTAGAAATCACTTAAACAAAATTATTTTATACACGTGTTTAACGATCATTGGTTGGATGTTGGATTTTTCCACCCCAAAAATACTAACCCCTAGTGGCTTCTGACATAGAACGTTGACTAAATAACGGCGGCGTGATAATCATGCCATTAAATAAAACCAATTTTTGAAATTGACGTCTCCTCGTCTTCTTATATATTTCTGAGGCAAAACTATTGGAAACAGTAATACATCAACATAACCAAAAAAATTAAAAAAAAAACATAAAATACAATGCAGTAAATCATGTTGGGTACCAGATAAAATTAAATGACTATAAACATATATATTATTAGTATGCAACAATCGATATAAGGAACATTTGTGAAGGAGAGAGAAGTGTCCGGCAAGTTTTTTCATGCTTAGTTTTTGCATTCATCACATGATGATATCATCAGAGTTTTTATGAATCTTACTCTATAACTCTCTATCTTGATTACTTGACGTTGCAGTTACAGTATACACAATGTTTTAATTATTGTTAACATCTATTGAGAATTTTGTTCATATAGATATATATATATATATTTAAACATGATGTATTAAGACCGATATGGCTCTGTGTTTTGCTCCCAATTTAATGAACAAAGTTTATTTTCTCTACCAAGTTGAGCCTAGTTCTAAATAAAATAATCGTGCGCACATTCCTTTATTCTCAGGCACAATATGGAGAACCCATGTTAGCACGTTTATTTTAAATCCTCTAAACATGAAGCTCATATTTCATGCCTAAAATAAAAAAGAATGGCAAACAAAATTTAAATATATAATTTATTTTATATTCTCTCTCTACTCTCCTAAGGCATGACGCTTTCAAGGGGAAGAAAAATACAACACATTGCCCAACTACATCCCTTCTCTTAATTATTGAGCATGCCAATTGACATTAATGATCACTATATCTTCCTAAAGTGAACATAGAAGCTTCCTGATCAGTTAAGGATCAAATAATGCAAAATTCCCACATATAACAATGAGTTATATGATTTCCAAAGGTTGCCTGTGTTCATATCGTGTATGTGTCAATGGCGAAGCTGGGAAGATCCATGTGAAAAGAAATAGCTTTGGGCCTCATGAAGAGAGCAGTTTGATTCCACAATGTTCATGAAGAAAGCTTTCTAGTGTATAGGAACCAGCAACAAATCTAACTACTCAATGCACACAATTGCCTGAAATAATAATAGGATATAAAAAGGGCCCCATAAATTTCCAACAACACGACTACAAATTGAGTATGAGATCAATGCCCAACACCCATAAATTCCCAGCAATAAATAAATTCACCTGCAAGTTATTGTGGGCTGTGGTAGGCTGACTAAAAAACACAAAATATAGTAAAAGGAACAAGCAGTCAACTTGAAAACGATGGACTAAGCCAAAAAGAAAATTGAAAAACTGTGGAAGCCTTCATTGTTTCATTTTGTATAATTGTCTCTAGAAATAACTTCACCTCAAAGTTGTCCTAGAGCATGGCCGATCTTGAACTAAACCCTGAAAGTTCAAAACATGCAAATTAATACAAGTCAATGACCCAAAATATCCTGGAAAATTTTAAATTGAGAAAATATAATTATCAATTCTTATAATTTAATTAAATTTTAATTTTAATCCTTGAAATTTTTTTCAATAATTTCAATTCTTATAGTTTTAAAAAAATTAAATGATGTTTGTTTCTTAAATCCTTGTAATTTCAGTTTTTTTAATATTTGAAGTCCTTATGAGGACTGAAAACACTAGAAAAAAAATAAAAGAATTAAAGTAAAACTCAATAAAATTATAGAAATTAAAAATTATATTTTTCTAAAAAAAGCAAACGTCCGGTGTCATACCACAAAAAAATACCTTGAGTCATGGAAATTCCTGAACGAAAATATCTCCTCTATAAGATCAAAACCAAGGCACGTATAAGAATACTTTAGGCGACAAGTTGGCAAAGGTAATCCGAAGCATCCGTTTCTAATAAGGATGCCTTTATCATTCTTTTTATTCATGGAATTGAAGGGGGAAAAAATTACATATAATACAAACTCCAACTACGAAGCTACAAAAATCAGCCATCATGATGACACTCACATTTCTATCACGCTGATGATACTACCATTTCTATCAGGCTGATGGACAATGGCAACCAGGATTCCAAAATGCAAAAGGAGGCTGTGTTTTTAAAATTTCTCTAGTTGGAAAATGGGCCAGTCGTTCTTGGCA